AGGGTCATTAGAATAATCTATTTAAATAAATAAATTACATTGATGTGCTCGATATGTATTTTTTCCACAACATTATTTTATTATCTTATTTTTAGTTTTCACAGTTTGATTATATATTCATGACTATTAAAAAAATATATTTGATTTAGAAATATTCTTTTTAATATAAATTTTTCTAAAACAATTCATAAACAATTTAGAAATTAAAAGATATTTATATTTTATATTCACAAAAACCCTAAAAAAATTTGAACTTATATTTTGGAGTAATATTAATTCCTAAACTTGTAGAGGTGCCTATTAATTCCCAAACTTACAAAATTGAACACGTTAAATCCTGAACTTGTTAAACGGTTCCATATTCGTCCATAGCGTTATTTGGTCAAAATATTTATTATTATTGACCCCTTGTTTTAAAAAAAACCGGACGCCCCACGTCATCAGGATATATCATGTCATGAGGGTATTATCATAATTTAACAATGGCATCGGGGCTTTTCCCCGCTTCAACACGGAAAACGACCGGCTCACGGCAAAACAGGTAGCGCCGCGTAGCCGACCTTTCCCACCCATTCCCTTCGAATCCTTCTTTCCCCATCACACACCGCTGTCTTGAAACTAAATTAACTCCAAACTAGATTAAGACCAAAGAAAAAATCTCATAAAATACACGTAATTATCACCAAACCGCCAAATAATGTATCATCCAAAAATTTATTTGCGCTAGAAAACAATTACTTAAAATTATAGAATTATATATATATATATATTTGTACCTGTAGTTTTTTTTTTTTTTTGAAACCTGAAAACTTAAGCTGCAAGTGAAAGGAGGAGAAACAAAAAAAAGAAACTTTAATTAAATAATCCAAAAATGGAAAGCGGAAAACCCAAACCGGAGTACCAATCCATGTAGGAGTCGGTTTCTTTCCATAACAACACATAGATACATACATATATACACATATGTGTATATATATATAAAGGGCACATAACGTCTTTTCGCTCCCCAACCAAACTGTCAAAGCCTTTGGATGTTTGCTTTCTCTTCTCTGCAAATTTCATCTTCCTCGAAGTCGATTCTTTCAAAATCTTCTTCTTACTTTTGATATAAGAATCTTGTGGACAATTCTTCGCTTCGATCTGATTCTTTTACCATAGGCAATCTGAGAAATCGATTGCAACTTTCTTCCGAGATCTATGAATTCTTCTTTGGATTTGGAGTTCCCTCCGGCTAACCTCCTCCGAGATCCGGCGACGGAGTCGAGTGGCAGTGAGGCGGAAGTGTCGGTGGTATCGGATTGTGAAAGCAGTGTTTCTGGGTCTGCTTGTGATCATCGGCCGTCGTTCGCCGACGAGAACGGGCTGATAGAGTTGCCGGAGGGGGATAAGATTCACGATCTCGTCAAGAGACGGTTGGTTTCTTGTTTGGGCTCGATCGGTGAGGTAGTCTCCGTCCTCAGGAATGGATTCCGGAGCGCGAATCGGCGGGCGAAGCTTCATGCGTTTCATGTGTATGCAAAGGCGGTGGAGCAGAAACATGGCGGCGTTGGGAACGTGAAGTATGGTTGGTGTGCCGTGAAGAGGGATGAGGTCGGAGAGATTCTCGAGCACGGGTTCAACGCGCCCAGTGACGGCGGTTTCTTCGGACGCGGCCTGTATCTCTCGCCCGATAATGCTCCTCAAGAGAGGTAAATCTCTCTATTACCCAGTCTTTGTTGATTGTTTCTTAATCTGATTTTGTTGATTGATTGTTCGTTCAGTCTGAGGTGTTCGGCTGCTGATGGAGATGGGATGCGGTTCTTGTTGCTCTCCCGGGTGATTCTTGGGAAGTCGGAAGTGGTTCGTCCGTATTCAGGCCGGTCCTGTCCCAGCTCTCCAGAGTTCGATTCAGGGGTTGACAATTTACAGTCTCCGAGGAAGTATGTTGTCTGGAGCACCCACATGAACACCCATGTCTTGCCCGAGATCCTTGTCTGCGTCAAAGCTCCAGCTAACTTGGGAAGTAAGTATGATGTTCTCGGTTTGGTTTTTTGGTAGATGTTCTTTGATTTGGGTTTCGGCTTATGCATCTGGGGATTCGTTTGTGTAGGTTTGCTTAGTGCCTCGGAATCGGATGGCCCAAAGAGACCGAATTCGCCTTTCATTCCATTCCCGGCATTACTCTCTCAAGTATCGAAGTTTCTGTCGCCGTATGAGATGCGTCTGGTTATGAAGCACTATAGCGATCAGAGAGTAAGTTGGTTTCCGAATGCCCTGCTTTGGACTCCGGTCATCTAGTCTTTTGTTAATGCTACTGTTTTGTATCCACAGGGGGGAAAAATCTCAAGGTTTGAGTTGGTTCAACGGATCAGACGGCTGACTGGAGATGAGTTACTGAAAGAGATCATCTCCACTTTCAGAGATAAGGTGATGGCTCCATGTTTGATCCCATAGATGATGACGACGACGATGAAAACATCAAGAAAAACAGTGAATGAACTCAAGATTTGTTCTCTCCATATGTTTCAGGCGGTGCGGATTCTATCAAGAGCTGAAAATGTACAGCGCGGCTAAAGGAATAGAAGATGATTACATAGGATACGATACGCAGATCTCTTTACTCAGACCAAGGGAGCCATGTGAATAGGGGTTTGTGCTTCTGACAAATGATCGAGGAATCGGGTTCTTTTTCAGTTTCTGTCAAACAAAAGTTGTTGTATTCTTGACGCAGAATGTAATATCTCAAATGCTTTCAGACAACACCCTTCTTGTTCAATGATGGTACTTGTTTGATACACTAACATAACTTGGACGCCAAGTAGATGGAGGAAGGGGACCATAATCATAGATGGCCTCACCAGCTTTATGGCCAACTTTCCCCATCACTTCCGAATGCGGAAACAAATCCAAACAGCAGTTTCTTCCTTTCTCTTCCATTGTTGAATCTGCCTAATTTTGATCCTCGGAAATGATTTTCATTCCGCGCTCTGTAGGCATCAGAACCAGCCCACCCACTGTCCGTACGGTTCATGGCGCTGGAAAGCTTTCCTATTTGGTCCAAGGACACGGTGGAGCAGTTGCTGATGACCGACCGCGACGACGTCGAGAGATGATGAGCGGACACGAGGTTTCGGCATGTGGTGGACAACCCACAGCTTTTCGGTGTGTCTTGTCGTCCAAGGCCTCACCCACAGAGATGAATTTGGTACTGTGAGTGGATGTTTAAAGAACAAGAAGAGAGAGAGATACCAGTAGGATTAAATTCGTTTAAAAATCGTTTATACATTAAACCGGTTTCAATTAAATCTTAACATATTAAATACGTAAACCACATATTAATCACATTTCTTTTTTATATACCACGAGATATCTTGAACAACGTTTAACTATAAATTGATATCTTTAATCCTTACAGACTAATCTTCGTTCGTCTTTGAATCAACGTACTAAACGGTATAAAGACTAGTCTAAAAGATTACTTCATCCCTAGGGTAGAGTTCGAATTTTTATGAAATTTTTTCAAATTTAAAATATATGTTATACTCTATGTTTATTTTACATATTAAGGGTGATAAATTCTATTCATTCGATTAGTGTTATCAGTATCCAGTATAACCGGTATATAGAATCAATTTTTTTAAACTTCAATAAGATTTATAAAGTTTAATATAATAGAATTACATGATACATGACTATTTTTTTGTCCTATAAAATATTGTATACTAATACAAGTCATTTATCCAAATTGTTTCTAAAACATAAATAGCCCTTAAAGATTTATTTTGTGATAATGTTTTCTGACATTTTGGCACTAATTCTATTTTACATCAATATTAACATTGTTCTAATCCCAAATTTATTTGAAATCGGTCACATGAATTATTCAATTCTACTCATTTTGATTTTGAATTAGTTTTTTAAAAATTTGCAATAATTCCAAATCATTTTTAATAACTGGTTCTCTAAGTAAATCTCTCCCTTTTTTTCATACACATTCCTATACTGTCTACATTTTTTACCGCAAAATCTAGCGGTCTACATTGTACATGTCCAAACTATCTTAAACGTTATCTCGTAATATCTCTTTTATATATTTTACTCTTATTTTATCTTTGTAGTCTCGTATCTAATTTTATCTTTCCATGTGAGTCCTCACATGTATTGTAACGTCTTCATCCAAACAGTAAGTTGGATTTACCGGATGAGCAAGTCGTGAAACCTCTTATGACTTTGGTGTTCTGTCTTGGCTCACACTTTTTATGAACTTTTGGTTAGTTTATGCTGATGGAAGCATTTGCCTGGGTATTCTACAAAACCAATGGAGCCCCATATACGACGTGGCTACTATACTCACATCCATACAGGTTTGGGATCTGAATTCGTCTCTTCTACTTGTGGATCATCTTCATCCATTGTTGTGTGACCCCAACCTGAATTTTCCAGTAAACTCAGAAGCAACACGATTGTTCAGCGAGAATAAATGAGAATATCATCGTAAAGTGAGGGAGGTTGTGGAGCAGAGCTGGACAACAGACTGACGATGGCGGCATCTTGAGGTGTTACAGGTAATGTTATGGTGTCCATGAACTTGTTGTTTGAATGGGTAATTAAGATTGCTTTTCTTTATTTGGTATGTTTTGTTCAAAATAAGTTTCAGAAACTTTCTGACTCGTCTTTTTGCTGCTTACTTTGGCCGCTATCAAATTGGTTATCTCACTTTTGATAAAGACAATGTTTTCAGTGTCGACTTCATACAAAACTACAGTTTACAATGTATCCAAGTCACCGGAAAATATTTAGACATGAATCAATTAAGTATTCAGTAGCTTTAAATTTGGAAGAGGGGTATTTTGTCAAATACAAATTTATGGGGGTTAAAAAGGCGAAGATCTCTAAAGCACATGGGTCTGTTTTAGATAGAACCCCAAAAATCTAACGCTTTAGTATTGGGCCTTATTTGGGCCTGATATAAATATTAAGAATTAATGGGCCTTTTATGAAACAGAATACGTCCGTGACACGAGTTGGGTATATACGTGTATGATTGCAGAAGTAGGTATCAGTTACAACCATATATATAAGACAATAAACATGTAGACCATTTTTTTTTTACCATATTTATATGCGAGAAAAAAAAAGAAGGGAAATCAGAAAACCATTCACAATGAAGAACGCTGAGAATGAGAAGCAGTGGAGCCACTCCTTCTGAAGTTAACCAAGTTAGGATCAACGACAATACCTCGAACGGCTATCTGCCTTCTCCGTCCATCAGTCGGGTGCGGAGGAGGAGCCATCGCCGGAACGTTTTCAGGTAATGGCATCTCAGGGGAGTGTCCTGAGATGCAGAGTGAACCCGTCTCGTCTTGTTGCCACAACACTTCAACCATTACTCCCCTTGGATTCTCGGCCGTTTCTGTTCCCGGGATTCCCACGAATCTCGCTCCCACGGGTATCTGCGGTGTTTGAAGTCATGGAGAAGCTTTAATATGATCTATATATCGGGTGTGTTGGCAGCAAGATCGGTCAGCTTAGATCGTTTTTCACGTAACTATCTGCCTTTTAAGTTAGACCGTATAAGCATCGTGAAAGTTTAGAGATTTACCTCGATGGAGGAGCCGGATGTTAAGTCGAGAGTGACCATGGTTCCATCAATGGCGGCGCTTTCAAGTTCCGCCTGTCTTGCAATGTTAAGGAACACTTCTTCAAGTGTTGCGAGACCAAGTTGGATGTCTGAGATCCCAAATTCTAATTCTCTATCTTGCAGCTCGGCGAAGAAGTCCTGTCCAGTTGTTGGAAAATCAAGAAGCAAGAAACCTAGTTTGATGTCTGAGATTCCGATAATGACAAGAGTTAAGGCTTGAAAGTTTTCTGGATGCTTACAGTCAGAAGTTGCTCTCTGTCATGAGAAATAACAAAAGTCATGAAGGCCTTGTTTTCTTCCGTTGGTTCAACGTTAAGATTCTGCAAAAAAAAAAAAAAAGGCAAACCCGAGATCCGAGGCATTAGTTTAAGTCTAACAGTGATGAAAAACTAGAAATTGGCTGCTTAAATTGACGTACATCTTTAAAGAATTTCTTCACGGGCTCACGAGAAATTGCAGCAGTGTTTCCAGTTTCACCATTGGCGTTGGAGATTTCTTGGGTATGGCTTTCAGTGAAGCTAATGGTAGCAATGAAACCAGTGCCAAACCGGGACTTCAACCTGATTGAGGTCCCGATGCATTGAAGCCTACCCTTAGCCATAATCCCAATTCGATCACTTAAAATGTCAGCTTCTTCCATGGAATGTGTTGTTAGAATAATGGCACGGCCTTTCTTTGTTTCCTGTATAATGTCCCATACATGTCTCCTTGTGATGGGATCCATGCCCGTTGTCTACACAATCCATGCATGGTGAGAAAAGCAGAGCTTAGATATAAGCATACCACCATCAACACACTACATTTGCAAATGTTGAGATATATATATGCACGGCAACAGACCGGTTCGTCGAGGAAGACAAGCTTTGGATCACCAATAAGGGCTACTGCGACACTGAGTCGGCGTTTCATTCCTCCGCTGTAACTTCCAGCTCTAACTTTTGCTGCTTCTGTCAGTTTTACCTCAGCAAGAGACTTCTCAACAATCTGTATCGATGGAAGAAAAACATTTGGAAAGGGTAATGCTTAAATCCAAACCAGATACCATCGTACCAGACATTTTTAAAGGAAAATTCAGGATCTCCAACCTAAAGCTTCTGTAAATATGAATCAATGGAGATTTCATTTATCTATTATCTGGTGACATACCGATTTAATTGATGCGGATGGCAGCCCTTTGATGCTAGCAAAGAGGTGGAGGTGTTCTTCACCGGACAAAGCATCCCACAGAATATCAAACTACAGAAAGAGAGGATGGACTAATCAATTAGATGGAATTAAGAACTGTAGCTAAGAGACGAGAGTACCAACAAGAATGAGATACCTGAGGGCAAACTCCTATGATTTTTCGAATGTTTGACATACCCACGGAGCTTCTTATGGAATTTCCATAAATCGATGCTGTTCAAATTGTTATTAATGTGATCATTGATCAATGCTTTAGAAACTGTCTCCCCACAAAAAAAAAGAGAGAAACAAGGCAAGCAAACTTCTTACCATCCCCACCAGTAACCGGAGTTATGCCTGTCAAACAATTAATGGTAGTTGTTTTCCCAGCACCGTTGGGTCCAAGGAGACAAAAGAGTTGGTCTTTGGCAATATTCATCCACAAGCCCTGAAAACATTGAATCAAAAGGAAATTCAAGAAAACATATTGTAAAAGCAATAAAGAGGGACACCCTCCTAGAGACACTAGTATCTTGCAATTAACCGAACTAGGATAATATATTTTTGAAGCATCTATATGTATATGAACAAAAGTATTTGATCTTAACAGAAAACACCTTTAGAGCATGATAAGGGGGGCTTTTCTTGCATTTACAGCATCCAAACTTCCTCATCCCGGGATATGTCTTTCCCAGACCACGTATCTGAACTGCAACGTTGGGATCAACTATGCCATCTGCTGTTTGTTGTTTAACTATGGTTTCCTCTTCAAGGACATCTACATCATCCGGTGTAATATGATCCTCAGGCGGAACTGAACCAATACAACTACATATACCACCCTCTGTTGAAAAGTAGAAAACAAGTTATGAATCACTTTTTCCAAACGATAAACATTGATGAGTACAGAAACAAAACCGAGGGGAAAATACCTTCAACTCTGTTTCCCCCTTTCCCTGTCCAGTACCCAGGTTTTAGAAAGTAAAAGACTGATTTTCTTACACCTGATGCATTTGGAACAATATTGTCAAAGTAGATAGCCAGAACGAACCACAGAAAGAATGTTCCGACAAGCCACAAGTAGACATCGTTCTGCCAAAAAATGAAAGTTGCCTAGGGTTAGAGAACAGAAACACAGTTATAAGATGGGAATTAGTCAAAGGGTTGACATACAATTGTAATGACACAGTCGGATGAATCATTTGGTGCACATTCTGCTCGATCGTTCCAACTAATTCCTGGGTCTTGAGGAGTTGAAGTTGCTGCAGCAAGCAGCTGTAGACCTTGAGAGAAGGTATTGGGTGGGAACAATGACCAAAGCGCCCTAAGTGTGACAGAGTAATTGCTTCCATAGGGAAACCCACTTGATGTAGCAAGCTGCAATTAGGACTGTGATTATCGACACTCAATAATTGAAGTAATGAACCAGTTTCAGATAGAAAGAAAACCACACCTGTGTCACAAAGCCAACCAAAAACACAAAAAAACCAACGGTTGTTGCTGAAGACGATTTGCTAATGAAAGGTGCTAGCATGAACGCCAAGCCAATCTAGCAACACAAATCATATAAACTTATTTGATGCATCAAAATCTCTCTCTCTCTGTATATATATACAAGCATCTTAAGAGAAAATCAGAGACCACAAATCATTAGATACTTATTCAACAAAAGTGACTTAGAAAAAGAGCAACAAAAAAAAAGAAGAAACAGAAGCGACTTAGGAATTGTCTATTACCATATTGAACTGGAAAAGCAAGAAAAGGAGGAATACAACAGCGAAACTGTTCTTCAAAAAGAAGTCGAATTGGAATATCATTCCAAAGAGAACTATCAGAAGTGCTGAGAGAACAGTAAGGATTCCTTCCCATGTGAGCCATGATAACCAATAAGCAGAGTCGAAAACACCCATCATCGTTATCGCCTGTCCAAAGACAAAGATAAGCATATAGTTAAAATATTATTGAAAGTGGTATCAAACACTGTCACTCCTAATGACAGACAAAAACGGTCGCACCTGACGAAGTTTCAGCTCTTTCTCTGTGATCAAAGAACTCATTTGAAGAACAAAACCAAACATTGCAATAGCAAGGAAGAATGTTGGGCCTATAGTATCCAGCGCAACAATGGCTTCAATAGCTGGGTGTGCAAATTCCTTAAATCCTACAATCCAGCTGAAATTTGGATCTGGAAAATGCATATTCAGTTCTCATTCTTTTTTGAAAGAACTTAATCTCAAAGATATCACAAATATCACCCCAAAAAGAAGAGTACCTCCTATCAAAGACCTAGCAATCTCACGCTCTGCGGCGATTTGAAGGGGGATCTGGAACTTAAACGTCGGATCTTCAAAACGTCCTCGATTCATCTCTGGAGTTGAATTCGTCTGAATACCATAGCTGATTACTGTAGCGTTCCTTTCCACAAAATGCAGAGCTCCCGGAGTTTGCATAGGATTTGAGAAAAGCCAAGCATCCACATCATCTGGAGTTCTAAATGCTCGAACCTGAATACAACATGCAAGCAAAATGTTTTAGCATTCGTTTTGGTCCTCTATCAAACATCCAAATTTCAATCTTCCTAACACAAACATCGACCTCCAGGATCCCCACCAATTTCAATCTCAGGGCCTCTTTCCCAATTTGTTAATCTAAACCTAATTCACTCCACCTGAAACTATGTCTTCGTAGATCCTCTTCAAATGGAAAATCGATTGGGCTTCTTTTACGCCTCGAATTTCGGCTGTTCTCGATTCGATTTCCATACCAATAGCTGCCTAAACTTCACGTTCATTTCATCAGCTGTATGGTGCGCAGAAGTTGTAAGCGCATTTCCTCGGGAAAATCTCTTATTTTCCTTCATTTGTACACAAATTCAGATACCAAATCACGAAACAAAACCCTGAAAACACTAATTAAGAGATACCTTGTCCTTTGGAATCGGTCTTCCCGGATTGTTCGCCATAATCGCATTAACGATGTTCGTCACCCGTGGGCTCTGACTCCCACTCCAGACGAAGTCGTAGCAGGGAAGCTTCGCAAAGAACTTATCCTCGCATGGTGGAATCGGCGGAGAAATCAGAGCCGTCGGATCAGTGACAGTCTTGAGCGCCGTCGAGGACGCGAAGCTCGCCTCCATCGCCTTCTGGATACAGAAGATGAGAAGGATGAAGAAGAAAGAAGAGAAAAGCTGAAGAAACGTTGCTCTCTTGCTCCGCCATGAGAGCAGAAGGTTCTTCCAGAACAGAGCTGAGAACTGCTGGTAGAGAAGCGGCAAGCCTCTCTGCAAATTCATGGCGATTTTCTGTTTTTCTTTTTGTCCGAGTGTGATCCGATTTTAAAGATAGGTTGCTTGTCATTCGGCGGTTTTTAAAAAGCGCGGACGTGGTGTTAGATTTATAGCCGCGTAGTTAGAAAAAATTACTGATTTGCCACTCAGTTTGGTCAGCCAAACGAAACTGCAATGAAATACACCGGACCACGTATACACACGATTACAAACATACATACATATATATATATTGAAATAAATATGAAACAAAATACTTTGTTTTTTTTTTGTCAAAAACAAAATACTATGTTGTTACCGCTACAGAATTTTGTTGGCTAACCAAATTAATCTCGAGATCATGTGTCAGTCATGTGATTGTATTGTAGATTATATATATTCTCTCTTTGATCTCGTAGTGAATACACGTTTTGCATCCAACCGCTACAGAATATTCATATCCTGGGAAACAAATCAGTAAATATAAGTAAACAGAAACAAATATATATATATATATATATATATACCATTCAATCGCCAGTCCAATTAATAACCCTATTTAGTTTTTTTTTTTGATGATATAACCCTATATAGTTAGGTAACTCTGGCCTACAATAAAAAAATATCTATTATAATAAATATTTTTTTTGGTTGATATCACAATAAATGATTAATTAGTATCATCGTTTGGATCCATCCCCATGCAATATGCATATTTCCAATATACATAAACATAGGGGTGGACGTTTCGGGTTTCGATTCGGTATTTAAGCGGTTCGGTTCGGGAACGATATTTTCGGTTTTATAAAAAGTGTACCAAACTAGAACCGAATGTTAAACGGTTCGGTTCGATTCGGTTTTAGTATCGGTTCGGTTCGGAACGGTACCATTATATGAATACCAAATAAGTACCGAACTATAATATTTACACATATATTAGTGAATATTCGAATTTTGGTTCGGTATTCATACGGTTCGGTTCGGGAACGGTTCATTCGATTCCATAAAAAGTGTACCAAATTAGAACCAAACGTTATTCGGTTCGGTTCGGTTCGGTATGGTTTGGTTTTGGGACGGATCGGGTCGGTACTAAATTCCCGAACCGAAGTGCCCACCCCTACATAAACATCATCATATTTTCCATAATTAGTTTATACATATGTCTTGAACTATAAATGTGCATGTGTTGTATATTCTAAAATTTCGTGGGTTGGTAACACTTATATTATATATATACACACACACACATATATATATATATATATAGTCAGTTTTTTTCAAATAACTCGTTTGACAAGTAAAGGGTATGATGGGACAGATCGTGCAATCATTTAATGGCAAAACATTGAACAAAGATTTTGTTTACTTTGGTCTTATTTGTTTACTAGGCTACGAAATTTACTGAAAGTTTCCACGGTCCATAGATTGAAGAAATTCTTACTACGATATATATCTATATATATATATATATATATATATATATGCAATTGGATTTAAAAAAATGAAAAATAATTTGTTTTTTAATTTGGTTGAACATGTGTATATGCATTGCTTCTTGTCCAAGTAAATTACCACATAGGAAGAGTAGTTTCTGACCAGTCGATATATTAATAATGCTCATAAATCATAATCAATCAAAGTAACCGAGCCATTAACAGACTAATATTTATTTATTTATTTGGATAATCAGGTATCTTATATCGATGCCATACTAATTTCGGGAATAGAAACAAGTCATGTAATTAAAATTATATTTTCCTTCCCAATTTGAGATTCGAACTCGGGATAAAATAAATATTTTGTGTTACCGTTTTACCGGTTAAATCATCAAAGGATGAATAATATTTATTTTATTGGTATACCTAATTAAATATGTGAATACACTAAATGTTGGTGTGTGTATATATATATATATATATATATTTATTGAATAGGTTACTTTATAAGTTTCTAGTATATGTAAATTATTTAGATAAAATTGGATTTAAATATAATTATATATTAATTAAGCAGAATTAATTTTATATAACCATACCAGAAATGGTAGTGTTCTTATTAAGTATCTTAACTATTTGGACTCAATAATTATACACACACAAAAAAAGTGGGCTAGGTTTACATTAGATGACGCAAGAGATGACGTTTTAATGCGACATATTAATATTTTGTGAGTATAATATTTTAATTTTATACTTAAAAATGGTCAACTTGTCCATACCGCGGGGATTTTGGGATTGATTCTACTGTCGCAGCTTCTTGTAAAGCTCATAGAATTGTCCACCTTGGAAAACTTGATTCATAAATTCGACCAGCCTTACATACATGCAACGTAACATTTTACATTATCCATATACTGATATATCTTCAACGTAAATTCAGAATCTATATCAATAATTTGATAGAAGATTAGAAGATCGTAAATTTGATTAATATTAAAAATCTGTCTCTTTTTATAATGGAAATAAAGAAACATCTTTCTCCTTTTTGATAGACAATCTTTACATATTGTCACCACAACAGTTGAAAGATGTTTTTCAACGATGAATTTTGTAAAAACAGTTTTGTAGAACTGGATTAGTGATCAATTTTTAAATGATTGTTTAGTTTGTTTTATAAAAAAAAAATATATATTTTAGATGATTACAAATAAATTTTTAAGTGTGTTTAGTTTGTTTTATAAAAAATATATATATTTTAGATGATTACAAATAAAATTGTTATGGAACGATTTCAAAAAATGAAGGATGGTAGAGTATAATTCAATTGTAAGATAAACATTTTTTATATTTTATATTTAATTTATAATTATTGTCTCCGGTGTTAAAAAATTTTGGATCCGCCGCTGAAAATGCTTATGTATTGGGCCTGAACTGCTCATGTAGTCATGACGAAGAAGCCATATGACTTTGTGTTTGACTCTCTTGTTTTATTATGACGGTCCAAGGGTTTATATAGATGTTGTGATGTATTCACCATGATAATATAGAAATTAGTATATCATCTGTTGAACGTGAACAAATATTTTATCAAAAACATCATATAAAAATCGGTTTTGATTATTCATTGCGTTTTAATTTTGGTTTTTATCGTTTAGATTTAGTTTTTTATTTTTAAAACATATTATTTTTCACTATATCTCTTGAGTAATACTTTAAATTTAAATAATTTAATTATAAAATTTTATTCATTTAATTTTTTAATTTTAAAAAGAAATATCCACTGTCTTAACTTTTAGACTCAAATTCCTTTTTCGACGACAAACAAGTATTAGAGAGAAAAATTCAAAAAAAAAAAACCTATTTTCAAAATGATCTATTTAAATCTCTGATTATTTCTAAATTAAAATAGACCTCTAAATTTTAAAAAATAATACTATAGAGTTATACATTATCCATATAAAAATTCAAATAATAAACTAATAAAATTAGAATGTATTAGTTTTTTTAAATATATTTATAATGTGGAAACAATCCATAAATTTAATATTTATAGAAATATAAAGTATTATATCTTTTATTTCAATATATAAGTTTTGTTTATAAATATAATAGTAATATTAAATTTTCATTGTTATATCGAATTTGAAATATATAAATTAATAAAAATTATAGTTGTTATATATTTTTATATATTTTATGTTTTATTTGAGTTTTAGATGATTGATGTTTTAAATGAATGTTTTATAATGGTTAAATATTTTTTAGATATCTTTGAAAAATTGAAAATTTATTTGGATTGAAAATATTTAAGGTTTCAAATGAGTATTTAAAAAAGTTGAAGGTTTTTTAAGTTTTTCTTATTAAATATTTTTTTTTCTTTTTAATAAATGGTCCCACTTTTCATGGGTTAAGCAATCAGTGCGGAGAGTTTCAATGTAGACTGGCATCGTTTTTGTTCGTGGTCCCACCAAAAGCCAAGAAATTAAAATCTAATAATGTAAATCCAAACAAAACGGGAGAAAAGGAGAAATTTGACTTTTCTTCCTTATCCATAATTCCATAAAAAAAATTATCTAAACCAGTATAATAAAAAAGAAAATTTCTTCCTCAATTATTATTTCGGTTTTCTTTGAAAATGCAAAGGACATATACAATTATTTTCATGGGCATTCCTAAAAAATTAATGGTAATAACTTGATCTACATAATTATAATCAAATTCTATATACGTATAAAATTATCACTGATTAATTTAATTTTTAAAGCAGTGAATGCAACAAAAAATATGGAGTATGTAATTGTATGGGACAATAAATTATAGCTGACTTTTTCTCCCCAAAATGTTTCAATATATATATATACATATATAACTGTAATTTATCAGGATGGTAGGAGAAAATAAAGGTGTTGTGGTTAGGATAAAACAAAATCTGAAATTCAAAACACATAAATGGTCAAACCAAATCTCGAGATCTCATGCTCTAAAAACAAATCGTAATCTCATAAATTACATTGAAAAAATCAGTGAGAAAAATTCTGGAAAGGAAAAAAATCGCATCGATCTTTCGGAAAGAAAAAAAACAGATTTCATCTAGAAAGAAAAAAAAAATCCAAATAAAAGGACTTTTCGTCGTCATAAAATAAAAATCAAAACTGAATAAATCCCTCTCTCTCTCTCTCCACTTGCAGGCAAATACATGTGAGCCCTGTGTCGCTTTGTGTGTGTATATATATATACAGACACATGACTCACACGTAAATCGCAAGAACAAAACTGCACACACACTCTCTCTCTCTCTCTCTATCTCATCTGTCGTCTACAACAATGGCGAAGCTGATGTCAGTAAGTGGAGTTCTTGTGCTGATGATGTCAGTGTTGTTGTCGTGTAGTGAGTACAGTGTGTGTGAAGAAAAGATTGGAATCTACGAACTTAAAAGAGGAGATTTCTCTGTCAAATTCACCAACTATGGCGCTGTTATGATCTCTCTCCTCACCCCTGACAAAAACGGTCCTCTCTCTCTCTCTCTCTCTCTCTATGATGTATTTTTTTTTTTGGCAATGTAATAAAATTCCGAGTTTATTGATGGAAATCCAGGGAAGGTAGACGACGTCGTTCTAGGGTTTGATTCCCCTGACGGTTACAAGGTATTGTGTTTGTTGTATCTGAATATTTGAAAATCACATACTACCATGTATATGTATATATATTTATAATCATTTTAACCTGTTTTTGTAACAGTATATATTAAGATGTTAAATAAAAATAAAAGTATAGGAGATTTGTTTCCATTTAACACGGATTGGTGATTGTGGTAATTGTTGCGCAGAATGATACGACCTACTTTGGGGCGATCGTGGGAAGAGTGGCGAACAGAATCGGTGGGGCGAAATTCATGCTCAATGGCCATCTTCACAAATTAGCCCCCAATGACGGCAAAAACACTCTCCATGGTAACATACACATGTATGTGTGTATATATATATATACATATATATTGATTTTCTTTAAATTTGGTTTTTTAATTAATCAGGTGGGAAAAAGGGATTCAGTGATGTGGTCTGGAAAGTCCAAAGCTACAAACCAGACAGTCACATTACCTTCACTTACGACAGCTTCGATGGCGAAGAAGGTTCAGACAAACAACATGACGTCATCTTCCTTTTATTCCTTCCTTTTGAAAGATATTCACACACACATATGTATATCAGTATATATATATATATATATGTATATTGATGTGACATACGAACACAGGTTTCCCGGGAGATGTGTCGGTGAAGGTGACGTACATGCTGATGGAGACGAACAAGCTCGGGGTGAAAATGGAGGCGAAGCCACTGAGCAAGCCAACGCCCATTAACTTGGCTCTCCACACTTACTGGAACTTGAAGGGACAGAGCTCCGGCGACATCCTCTCTCACGACATCCAACTCTTCGCCTCCCACATCACTCCCGTCGACGACCAACTCATCCCCACCGGAAAGATCTCCGCCGTCGCCGGAACCCCTTACGACTTCCTCGGCTCCCGCCCCATCGGCAGCCGAATCGACGAGCTTCCCGGCGGCTACGACATCAATTACGTCATCGACGGAGAATCTGGGCATCTCAGGCGGACGGCGGTGGTGACGGAGAGCGTTTCCGGTCGGAGAATGGAGCTGTGGTCGAACCAGGTCGGCGTCCAGTTCTACACCAGCAACATGTTGACGAGCGTGCGAGGCAAAGGCGGGTACGTTTACAGCAAGTACGGAGGGCTGTGTCTGGAGACGCAAGGGTTTCCCGATTCGGTGAATCATGAGAATTTCCCCTCTCAGATTGTGAACCCTGGAGACACTTACTTGCATGTTATGGTCTTCAGATTCACTGCCCATTGATCCTTTTTTTTTTCTCCTTAGTTGTAAGTGAATAATTTTGTGAGCAGTTCCTGCTTTTGAGGAATAATCAATCTAAGCTGAAATGATTTGAAATCCCATTCGATAAGCTCGTTACAGAAACCGGCGAATGAAACAGAGACATTCAAAGTCGAATTGGGTGATCCTAAGTAGGGTGCCCATATTGGTTATTAACCTACTACTCGAACCGAATAAGATATAACCATAACTGAAATCAATCCGATATAAAAACCGTTTGCTCGAAAAAATCAAATTCGAATCGAACCATTAAAGAAATAACCGAAAAAATTAATAATTTTTCTAAACGCACGAGTTTTTTACAACAAAAAAATCGAATCTGAACCGAATAAGAAAGAAATAGAACCAAATTAAACCGATATTTATATGAAAACTGAATGGTTATAGTCTTTCCATAACCGAACCTGGATATAATCGAACCGAATCTCGAAATGACAATACCGACAAGCCAGTTGGATAATTAGAAAAAGTCTCAGTAAATCGGTCAATACATCATCCAGAAGAATCCATGCAATGTGAACTGAAGACTTAAAGTGCGATAATAGCATATATTTCTTTACTGAACACGAGAAGGCAGAAAGAAAAGGGCTTCAGATAGGGAAGAACATGAGAAAGAACATTGCTACTTCAGCACTTTTCTGTACACCCCAGCATCAATAATGTCTGAATAACTCACGAAATTGCAAAACATGAAGCTTTCAGGTTCGGTTTTCAGAAGTCACAAGCAAGTATAAAAGGGAAAAAAAAGTTCTGAGGTCAGAATCCGAGATGATTCTTGTTTTTTGCTAATGGGCAGAGTTGGTAGTAGGGGTCTTCTTGAAATCGATCTTGTCGACTTTGACCTCTCCATCGATGAGCTCGTAGACATAAACAACAACGCGTTGGCCGTCAATGTCCATAAGGACAAAGCTAGGGTTGACGTCGTAGTTTATGCTGCTGTAGGCTCCCGTTGCAGATCCCGGGTTTATCACCACACCTCCCTCGTGTTTGTAAGCTGTAAACTGGTGGGTGTGGCCTGTCACAAGTATGTCCACGTCCAGTTGTCTCTGAAGCATGGCTAGCGAATCTAGATCACCCCATGGGACCACCTGTTAAAATGCAGAGCAGATTAAAAAGTAGGCTTCACAATCAGGCAACGAGTCACCGGTCATGCTATTTCTTTTACCGAGGTTCTAGGGTTGTCTCGGTAAAAAGGATGTAAGAAAGATTGCCACTCCGCTGTACGAATTCAGTTCTCATGCTCAAAGTGATGCATCAAAGAGCTTATTATTAGGAAAGAAAATGCACTATAACATATGCTAACATCTAACACCTGTAAGCTTATAAACAAAGTGCTCGAGGAAAATGGAGGAAGAACAGGGATTTTGAACCTGGTGACCGTGACATAATCCCAGCTTGAATTGCCCAATAGTCAGTGTTTTGGTTTCTGGGTACCGTGCCTCTTCGTCAAACTCTCCACGGACTATGTGCAAATCAGCACAGATAGTCTTCAAGTAATCATGAACTTCCTAAAAAAAACCACCAAAGATGTTAAGCTTATTGTAAACGAAACAAATGTGGTGCAAAAGAGAGTTCTCAAAATTGTAGTTTAGGCCATACACATCAAAAAGCCAAAGCAGGAACTAGCACATTCAATACCAGGTATAACATGATGGGAAATCAAAGCATTAACATCGCATAGACAGATGAGATGCAACTCATCTTTTTTAAGGAAAAAAAAACGTAAGGACGTATTCTCACGAGACATAAACAACTTGATAGGCTAGAGTATGACAAACTTGTTTAAAACAGCTCCAATTATAATAATGAAACACAATTCACATCTAAGCCTTCTTAACGAGGGTAGTTTTATTATCTTCTAATTTCATCTCACAACAATACTGATAGAAAACTATCATGCAACCGAGGTAGGGGAAATCTTCTGAACAATCGAACAAATGCAGAACTCAGAGTGATCATAGTAAATAAATATTCGACCCACAATGGATCTAATGAGGGCAAAGGACAATAGATCCCATCGAGGAAGAATTCAAATAGTCAATTAGAAGTTCAATCCATTCCCTGAATGGTTTTCAGCAAACGAAATACTGAGATCAACCAAACCATCTCCAAGCAGTGGATTACAATAGATCCTCTCACTTAAACCATCTCTTCTGCTATTTCACTACATTTCATGAAAACAGGAAAAATTCAAACAAACCAAGAAAATCTACAAGAAACCTACATAGAAGACAACCAGAAAACGACTGCCATTGAAACTGGAGGAAAATAGGTTAGAAGATTCACAATTTTTTTGAAGGAAAAACCCTACTACCTTGATGCAGAGATTTCCAGTGCAGATGATGTGTTGGATCTTGCCAGGGACAAGCATTGATTTAAACTTGGGGGGCAGATCAGGCGCTCTGTGGGGTACATGTAGATCCCCCAAAGCCAACACGAGCACCATTTTGGATATTTCCTCGAAAACCCTAACCTGCTCAAAATCCCGATAAAGAGAGAACTTTCGAAGCTATAAACGTCCATCAAAGGGTAATTACAACTTAAGATCACGATTACATATTCAGAAAATCGATAGAAATCGCAAACGAAAGACTACCAGATGGATTTGCTCTTTGGCCCGTGAGAACCTGAATCCCACTCAGAAATCGCCCATGGAAGACTTTTTCTTCCTCCTCCCGCTGATCGCTTTCAGCTTTGAGATTCTGGGAAAGCGGGGTGAAGTTAAACGCCGTCGTTTTACCGGTCTGCAATAGCCGTCTTAGAGTGGTAACCGGAATAACCGATTTGAACCGGACCAAAGACTCGATTATTCAACCTCTACCGGTTCAGTGTGGTAAATAATAAATATTGATTTGACTCTGAAATTGATCCGCATTTAATCGCAGTCACTTTGTAATCATTCGGTCCAAAGCATATTTATTCCCTCGTGATCAGTGACATCACTTTCTTACAAACATTCTATGAACATAGTAATGGATTATATTCAGGTGTTGTCAAGAACCGGAAACATATCCAGTCCACTGCAAGACAGAAACTACTCCACAAGCTTTATGTGATGATGATTGCCATCTCCGGTGTCTTTACCAACAGCTCGCTTCACTGTTCCCAGATTCTAGGTTTGGAAGCTGATGTCGCTACAGCCTGTTCATTCATGCAGTGGAGAAGGCTCAGAGAAGATGGACAAAGCTTTTAAGTTTCCTGAAATGGCTCTCCGTTTCGGAAAATGGTGACTCCGAGGAAACCTCATCGTCAAGGAAACAACACCAAAACCTAAGCTGCCCTGGAGAGATATATACATCCGAAGAGGCTTGTGAAACCTCGGTTTCTCATCCGCCAGAGGCGAAAACAGAAGGGTTCTTCTCTCTCTATCTCTCTTAACCCTCTTGTTGTGTTCATGCTGCTAATATCTAAGGTTGGATAAAGGAAGGCAAGGCTCTGTCTTCAGAATCAAGAACCACTTGCTGAGGTTTGATGCTTTTGGTCTGATTCTTGGTTGTTGGCAGTTGTTCAATGTCTGAAACTTGTGATTCCATTTTGGTCTTGAATACTGCAGTTATGGATATATAGTTTCTCTGTTTACTTTCTCATTATTCTGTTTGATTCCAATGGAATATTTTTTTTTCTTCTCCTTGTGGGGTTTTTGTGATCCTTTGATACATTTGTGTACATTTTAAAATCTAATCATTCGAGAACTGGGCTCTTCCAAGATGATAAGTGGGTTGTGATGTCCACTAAAATAGTTGTGGGGATCAAAATGAAATGTTTCCGTAGTTTTGGGCACAAACTGGAAACGTGAAATTATTTATATACTCTCTCTCTTGCTCTTACGCCCTGAGAAATTTTCAGAAGGTTTGATCGAGTACCTGCGCCTCATCCAAATCCGTCGTTGCTATTGTTCTTCATCTTTGATCTTCTTTCCTCGTCGAAAATGGCGTTTTTGCTCAACAACTCCTCTATCTCGTCGCACTTTCGATCTCATTCCAAGGTATCGGTTTTGAATCTCGTTAATGGGTTTGTCGGATTAACTTGATCTGTGAGGAACCATTTTTCTTCCTGTGCAGAAGACCGATGATGCCTTAGCTCTGTCCCGTCGGGGGTTTCACGTTGAGCCAGGGCCTCGCGAGAAAGCTGTAAGATTTGATTTCGTGCTTTGTTGTTAGGGTTTTCTTTGTTTCCTTGTTCTGATTTTACTTCGTCTTGATGAAGTAGGGGTAGGATCGGGCTCAGTTGATTATGAAGGTTTGGTGTATGAATCTGGCCCTGATTGATGATTGATTCGAACAATAATGATGAGTAGTTGTAGTTCTTAGTTTTCGTGTGGAGTTTCTGTTTCAAATTTGAGAGGGCAGACACTAAACGTGTTTAAAGGTTTGGGTTGTACAAGTCAGCTTCTATACATTGCCTGAAATTCTTATGTAATCCCCTGACGCCATGCATTGTTGTTTGTGATTCTGATTTCCGTTATAGATAAGCTTTTTTTTCCCCTTAATGTGGGTGGGTTTGTTTTAATTGATGGAATTCTCGTGTAGCTCTTGGCTGAGGATGCAGCTTTGAGCAAATTCAAGTCGCATAAGAAGGGCGTGCGCAGAGTGAAGAGGATCGGAGATGTGCTTACAATTATCGTTGTTGCAGGTAGAGAAGATTAGCTTCATTCCTCTCTTTTTTCCCCTTTCTCAGATAATCGATCGATTTGGGGAGATAAAAAATAATCTGGTATCAGTTTAGATATATCTAAATACAGCATCCATCCACTGATATGCTTAGATGTTCACTGCTTTTCCATTGTGAATCTCTATACTGGAATCTGGCAGCTTGCCATCAAGAACACTCATAGTGGTATTATCATTCATTAGTTTCTTTTTTGCTCCCTGTTTAGTAGTGTCTCTGATTTGATCTCATAACAGTCAGGCAGACATTTGATGATAACTTCACCGTCTGTAATCTTTATCTGATTTCACATTGGACAGATATAATATGGTCGAGCTTTGAAAGTGTCTGTACTACAGAGGATTATGGTGATTGAGTCTTGTGCTGCATAGTGAGCAGTAATAGATATAGGGGAACTGTGAACTTTTCTGACTGTTTGTTCATCTGTGTATCCGATTCTGAGCTATATTTGTTTTAGATTTTTTACAACTCTTCTTCTCAAACTCGACACATGTTTTCTGTTTCAGGATGCTGCTATGAAATCTATGTCAAAACAATGATGAAAGGAGCTCGGGAAGATTGAAGAGGTGCAACCGTGCAATGAGGAGGGGAAGCTCATGCATGTATGTTGCCCATTTCTCTTCTTGATAAAGTCAGTACTACTCTTGGGGTTATTGCACTTTGACGTCTCAATAAGTGGACAAAGGAAAGGATATTGTTGTTGGAATTGGCTTGTTTCTCATGGTTATGGGTAATGGGTTCCTTCCTCGTCCATTAAAACCATTCTTTGACCTTTTTTTTCCTTGGTGGGAGATTCTGTGTGGCCCTTCCCGGGGCACCGCCTCAATGGGGACAAGCTTTGTGCACCGGGCTGCCTTTAGATTCTGTGTGACCCATCTAGAATGTGGCTGCAGCCTCAACTTTAGAATAAGCTTATGGATATTTCATATGGGTGGTGGAACATGGTTCCCTTAGGTCGACTTTTTTTGCACATTGCTTATGGCGGATTCTCACATTCCGCCATGGTACTAGCTGAAGTAGCATACATTATTATGATTATTGTTATTACTGCCTCTGAGACCAAGCCGGAAATTTCTCCCATCTCTAGTGAATGGACTCACCCTCTGATCCATTATAATCAATCAAGCTTTGATCGTATTTTCTTTTCACACGTAAAGTGAACGGAACCATATCTTAATCATTTCTCATTTGAAATCAGTTTTTGCCATCACGTAATGTTAAAAGAGGATAGAGAAAAAACAGCAGAGCATTCACACCTTTCTTGATAATTTCTGCTCACCGAATTTGTATATATATATATATCTACATTTAGATGACCCAAAGTTTTACAAATCTGCCATTTTTGTCCTCATTCACCACCCAAATCTAAGAAAGGATATCGTCGAAATCGGCATTAAATCTCTGTGTTTGAGTATTGACTGTACAAATAATTGAGTGAACACTTGCCTCGATGGTAAGGTGAGGACACTAACTTTCCATGTATGATATTTGCACGATGTTTTTCTATAGTCTAGTGTATAGTTTCACCTGGTTTTTTTTTTTGATAATCCGGAAGTTTACCGAGTCTTTGACCCGACTACATCTCCCAGAGAACAGAAGAAGCACATGTGAATATGCATCCCCACATTTGATTTTGAACCCAGGGTGAGAGCATGTTTTGTATGTTCTCTCACCACTATACCACCCAAGATCGAGTATACCACCCAAGATCGAGTAGTTTCACCTGGTTTTTGTACATGCCTATACATTTGACGATACATGAGACACATATATTTACAACGTTTCGTTTTTTGGTAGATTTTCAGGGATATATCAGATACGTCATATATACGCGTCACACTAATATTTATTTATTATCGGTTTCACGATAATAATCGGCTAGGATATTTATTATTATATTTTAAATAATATCTGAATAAATATTTATTATTTATAAATAAAAACGAATAACCATATTATTCGATAATATTTATTACAAATATATATATATATATCCGATTTCTTTTATACAAAATGTAAAAGTTCGATAGGAGTCGAAAAAATTCAGTGGTTGTTTTGAAATTTATCCTTTATTAATTTTAGTGGTCTTACGAAAAGATTTACAATATCATTTATCATTGTTGTTTCTTTTCACAACCACTCTTACAATTTCTTATTACCAAACATAACACAAATCAAATATAAATTTATCTTCTTTTTTTTTTTGTTTCTTTTGCCCGAAAGATAAGACAATTGAACCACCAAATCTTCATATCAATCAGCAAAAGAAAAAAAGATGATTGAAATATAAATTTCTCCGGAAAAAAAAAATACCAAAGTGAAAATCATAAGGAAAATTATATATATAGTATAAAGGATTCCGTCATTACGATGACGTTTCGAGTCCCCTGTTGACGTCCAAGGTACATTGAAACGGCACCGTTTTCAGGTCATCCCTTTCAGAAGGCGGTATAAAGAACACAGCCTCACCGTCCACCGAGATCAGCACCACCACCAACCACCAAGCTCCGTTGCGCATATTTACACAAATGCCACCGCTTCTTCCCATTCCTCGTGCTCCTCCGCCGTATCCTCTGCGTCACTGATCTTCAACCTTCTCCGGAGAGAATTTCAGCATCTGCAGGAACATGGCGAAGAATATGACGCAGAAGATCTCGGTGTTGTTATCCAAGCTTGGAGACAGAGACACTTTCGCAATGGCGGCTAAGGAACTCGAGTCCATTGCCAGAGGTATTGATCCCGCTGCCGGAAATCTCCAGCCGTTTATCTCCGTTATCCCCTCCGCCGACGCCGGATATAAACTGGCGGTGAGGAAGCATTGTGTCCACTTGCTGGCGGTTATGTCTCTCTCTCTGCCTCCGAACTCTCTCTCTCCTTTTCTGTCTAAGATTCTCACGCGCCTAACGCGCCGCCTCCGTGATCCGGACTCTTCCATCCGTTCCACATGCGTCGCGGCCGTGTCGGCGCTCTCTTCCCGGACGACAAAGCCGCCGTTTGATTCGGCGTTCCTGAAGCCATTGTCTGATGCGCTCTTCACTGAGCAGGAGACCAATGCGCAGACCGGAGCGGCGCTGTGCCTCGCGGCGGCGATCGACGCGGCACCCGATCCGGATCCGGATCGGCTCGGGCGGGTACTTCTACCGAGATTGGAGAAGCTGGTGAAATGCGACGCGTTCAAGGCGAAAGCCGCGGGTCTGGTGGTGATTGGAAGCGTGATCAGCTCCGGTGGTATCGCTGGATCCGCCGTGGGCTTCGGCGGATTAAAGGGTCTGGTGGACTGCTTGTTAAGTTTCTTGGGCAGTGAAGATTGGGCGGGGAGAAAGGCTGCTGCTGAAGCCTTGGGGAGATTGGCAGCTATGGAGAGAGATAACCTAGCCGAGTTCAAGACTAGATGTTTGAAGATCTTCGAAAGCAGAAAATACGACAAGGTTTTCCAGAACTTGATTCCATCATGTATATATACGTTTCGATAAATCACGATCCAATGTTGGAATTAATTTGTTTTGCCTGTGTGTAGGTGAAAGCAGTAAGAGAAGTGATGAATCAGATGATCGAGGCTTGGAAACAAGTGCCTGATATATCCGACGAGATTTCTCCGCCCAGATCAAATGCTTCTTCCAAAGGTATTTTCACTCGCCCACTTCTGCACTGTTCTTTACGTTTGCACGAGTCTGTGTATACATGCTTCTTGCTTGTGACTTGTTTCTTGTTCTGGTGTTAAGCTACTGAATAGCGTACTTTTAGATCTTACCCTAATCAAGACAGACAGTCAATAGTGTCTCAGATGTAGGAAACTTGGAAAATCAGGTTGATTGGACGAGCTCAGTTGATTTCAAAGGAGTCTGCTTTTGACAAGTTTGGTGTTAAGACAACGATGTTTATGTTTGTTCCTCTTTTCCGAATGTGGCCAATGGAGCAGATGATGCAAGTGATGGGCGTTACCCTTCTGGATCTAAAGTTGCTTCAACCCCCGGTATCGAATTTTCCAAAAGGGGAAGAACCCTCCTAGCGAGAAGATCAACTCCACCTGAGAGTTCGATAGCCACCACAGCCAGGCAAAGGACTAACATAAAAAGCAGCGAGAAGAAAACCGGTCTTGTGTCGCATATTAAACCAAACACAAGGAGAAGGTTGGACTGGAAATCTGGAGCTAGTGTTTCTACCGCTGTAACCGTTGATGAAGAGCGCCAACAAGATGAAAACGTGAAGGAATCAGGTCAAACCCATCACGAGAAGGTGCAGAGGTCAGGTGGCACCAGGTCTCTATCGTACCCTCCACCATCCGGTGAGAGCTCTAGATATGCTGCTGCAACAGGACATGTAATGTCTGAAAATCAGAATATTAAGTTCAAGGGCTTTGAAGATTTGGCTTTGATCCGTAATCAGCTGGTTCAGATTGAACAGCAGCAATCCAGTCTAATGGATGTCCTGCAGGTTTGTAACTAAAGCTCGAGAAAGAGACTAAAAGTTTTCTCGGTTCCTGATCATGTCAAAAGGGCATACCTCATAATTGTTTCCTATTATCATATAGAGATTCGTCGGCAGCTCAGAGAAGGGCATGTGTGCTCTGGAAACACGTGTTCATGGCCTCGAACTAGCGTTGGATGAGATCTCGTACGACTTGGCGGTATTGAATGGGAGGATGACTACTGGTTCGGACAGAAGCAATTGTTGTCTGCTTCCTGGGGCAGGATTCATTAGACCCAAATTCTGGAGAAAACCCGAGCCTCGGTATCCAGCATCGAGGTTGTCCAATTATGCAGGTACTCCATCCGTGTACAGGAGTGGAAATGCACAGACTGTTGGATTTCAGGGCTCGAGAATGCGGCTCAATGGTACTGCTAGATTTATTGTCAACCCGCTGGCTGAGATTCCATCCGATTCTTTCGCGACTGTGGAACCTACAGGTATTTTGTTTTTTTTTACTTTACATCGGATCTGAGATCATAGGATAGTTCTTGTGATTTGATCAGCCTCGTCGACGAGATCTCTTTCCCGTTTGCAGGCATGCTTCGCAACTGAGGAAGAAAGCCTTCCCGTTTCAAAGAGTCTCAGACGAAAGCCAATGCTGGAACTAAGTTATATAAACACCATTTTTCGATCTCGAGCTGCTAATCTCTATCATTTGGGATATTCCTTCAACCAAACAACATCAACATCGTCTTAATCCCAAGTTATTCTTTCAACCAAACACTTAGAAAAAAATTTCTAGCAAAAACCAAAAGGGTCGAGAGAGAGGATCAAACACACACACAGTTGTGTATATATATGTTTTTTTTTGTTTAGTTATTGCGATGAGATGGTTCTTCTTCATGTTTGTAATTCCGATGGGATTACTGAGATTATGTTTTTTTCCCCTAAAGTTGGGTGCTGAGAATTTATAAGACTCCGATTACCAACATAACAACATATTCACGATGGTCTAAGGACTTGGACGGTTAATTAATTAATACGACACTGAAAGAGTAACTCACTCATCACATTGTTTTGTCGGCTCGGGGAAGATGCGACAAAAAAGGTCGAAAGCGTTACACGCGCGGAACACATAGAGTTGTATTATAGAGTAGAGTGTACAGAACAAGGACCATGTCTCTCCATTTGCTTTGCTTCGCTTTTATCATCACTGATTGAATCATTGTGCGGTTGCCAACTGTTTTTGTAATTTAAGAAATCAATTAATATCTCTTTTCCCCCCCTTGATTATTCCATAATTGCTGCTGGTCACAATCACATGGCCTCATTTATTTCGGATATATATATATATATATGTATCTATTTCTGCTTGACGACCAATAATATAAGCATGACTAAAATAGTTTAAACCATATATAGGAACTGTAGAAAAACCGTTACTTTTGCCACCAATGTCCGTCCACGAGATTTAGTTAATTCGGGTTTTAATGGCATGAAATCTCCAACTCCGTGCACATATATATACCATTAATGAAGCGTACAAATTGCAAGGCAACATTGCCAAAGCACCAAAAAAGGCTCTTTTGATGAAGCAGTTAACAAAATAAATACCAAGAGATTTATTTGAAGTTCCTTCCTTTAACAAAATTTCATGTTATCTTTAATTGGCTGATTTGCTCCCAGGCGAAGAAAGAACAGAGTTTGTATTTGGGCTAACACAGAAACGGCGTACACGAAAACTCACACACGCATCATTCCGGTTGCTCTTGAGTTTGCTCCTTTTCCAGCTTCTGCATGCATGTGAACAAAACAAATTCTCCATAAGAAATGGATATATGTGAAATCCGATTGTACAGCATTACATTACGCAACACTGAGAGTAAACCACTGATTGTTCATCTCATCAACAATATCGCCTCAATCCCAAGTTTATTTGGGATTCTCCACACGGGTTCTTCGTTTCCATTCATTTTCGAAATTCGCAACAACATCAAGTCATTGAAGTAATAAAGGTAACACTTTGCATCTATTGGGGCTTAAACATGCAAGTTTCCCAACGAGATCCTGAGTATTACTAGAAATGGTTGAACCAGAGATAGAATATCAGCAAGCTGATCCACAAAAATTGCAGCTCCTAACTAGATGGAACTCGGACCAGATCAGCAGTTTGTACTTAATATTTCATACATCGCATAATGAATTATTATCTTAATCTTGAAAGCCACTGACTCTATATCTGACAAAACATGAACTGTACATAAAGATAAAAACTAGTAAAGAGTCTAATAAGCTACAATAAGGGAGAAACAGCATTTTGGACCATTGACCTCTAAAGATATAGAAACACCCTTTCGGAGAGCATGACTCAAACTAGACATTGCATTCTCTGATCAATAACCCAATCTCCTCCAGAAACCCTGAGAAATCTGAAACCCCCAAATGCTCATTACCCGACCGAACAAAGAACCCAGAACTGATTGGTCCAAAATTCCTCAGACCAACAAATGTATGCCCTATATTCAGACCTGGGTTACCAAAGCAAGCAAGTAGGCAACAGTCAAGTAGTTTATAAATTCTTTCGGACCACAAAAATAAAGACATCACGACAGAGAAGGTTTTCTCAACCAGCCGATCAGAATCGACGGATAACCTAACACGAACACATGAATCGGCCACAAAATTAAACCGAAGCACGATCGACGTTCGGACGAGGAAGAATCAATCGAGATCGAGAGAAATCAGCAAACTCGAATCGAGGGAACAGCCAAATAGGCATCCATAGACGAAACACAGAGAGAGAGAGAGACGTACAGCTTGAGCGGAGTGCCATGAGAGGCCACGATAGACGTTGACGGAGAAAGTGGCAGTGAGATAGATGGTAGCGAGCCCTAGCCCCGCCGTAAACCCCTTGAACACCCAATCCCCTGCTTTGCCTGCTATCCCCATCTCTCTCTCTCTCTCGGTGGAAGCGGAATTTTCAATTTTGTGAGAAAGAAAGAACACGGGAGATTTTATTTAATTTTTTTCGTTTTTCCATTAAAAAAAAAAAAAATGGGGAAAAGGGCTAGCTTTTGAAGCCCATTATAGTATTACCCAGGCCCATTAGAGTTCATAAAAATGCCCACCTCGTTTTATAAAGAAAGATACAAACGAAAATCACAAAAATAAAAAAGAAAAAAAAAACTGCCAAACTCAAAATGGCTCTCCATCCAAAACCCTCTGGTTCTCTCACCCACTTTAAAAACGCCAACAAATGAAATGAGCATTACACACAAACTGCTACATGTTTATTGTCATATCAAAAGGGCCACTTAAAAAATTGGCCCCCCTCCCTCCCCCGCATCCCCAAACACGTGTTTTGATGTATGAGCGCTATGAAACAGGAACCATCACATTGAGCTGGAGTGGCTTCAAAGCCGCCTGAACAATCTCCTGTACGGTCCTGTTCCGCCGGCACACGTCAGAGATCTCTTCTACGTGTCCCATCAGTGTATTCACCTCCGCCCCATAAGCTACATCCGACAATGCCTTCAAGAACTTCGTCCTCTCCGCCTCTGTCACTGCTGTCTCAGGGATCAGGCATATGCTTTCCTTTGCCCATCCCACCGCCTGCTGCCCGTATGTTCGTGTCAGAGCTAGCAGCGTGTACGTTACCTATATATACATAATCAGAGACATACATTCGTGTATATATAATGTTGGAAATACTAGAGGAGAATTGACATTCTAGTGTTTTAACAAGGAAACTGGGTTACTGTTTCTAGCCGAGAACTGGGGAGTGCTCCTGTTAGTGATGCAATCAAGATTCGGGAGATTGTAGCGCCTCGGGGAATAATGACACCGTCCCTTATTCGGATGAACTGTTCTTCCTTGACAGATTTCCCCAGATCAAATATATCCGATAAAAAGGTCAATATGGAGTGGCATGCTTCTCTGAAAAAACAAAAGGCGGGTTTAAAGCACATCAGCTTCTGTCTATCAGCTATCGAGGGGAACAACACAGAAAAACAAGAATAAACAAGTTCAACCAATCGAATTAACAGAGAGAGAGAGAGAGAGAGAGAGAGAGAGAGAGAGAGAGAGAGAGAGAGAGAGAGAGAGAGAGAGAGAGACACCTGTGCTGCACTGTGATGCCAACCATAGAGCAATCCACAAGTGATGGAAATATAGCTGAAGGAATAAACAAATGTGGGCAGTAACGAATACACCTTGACGCCAACAAAAAGCAGTCATCGGCTATATCTGGTCTAGCAGTGAAATCCTGGAAAGAATATATATGATGGATACCAAGTCACCAAGGATAAATTATATACATGAGAAAACCAGAAGAAGATGCTGCTAAATGAAATCAACCTTGATACTCGTCAGAAGACATGTCGTATGTGCAAAAAGGGTTTCGATCAAGCTCTTTAGGTAGTCCGCACAAGATGGGTCTGAACCAAAAATCTGAATGCCCAAGAAGATCGCATGCCCTAAATTTTTATGTCATAGAAGCATCTGGTTGATTGAAAAGAAAAGAAATGTTACCTTTATAACTTCACTAGATAGGTAAAGGAAGCATGGTTGATGATGCTGTTGATACAGGAACTGAACTTTTGCAAGCATTTCCCCAATCGTATTAATTATGTATCTTCCAGAAGTACGTACCTGCAAAAAATAGTCTCGTTCATTACATGCTTAAAGTTCATTTATCAATTATTCTCAACATATTCGTAGCAGAACAATTTCATCTCTTCTCGCCACTAAGTCTACAGTAACTGGTGAAATCAAAAGATAAACTGGTCATTACCAGACAACAGTGAACGCAATGTCTAGGAAGCACAGCCAATGAAAATACATAACATAAGAAAGGAAGCTCACAGCATATTTGCATGCCCTGCATAGAGATTCCATTGTTCTCACGTCCCAAGGACGACTGCCATGGGGGAAAAAAGAGAGTGGTAACATAAAAATGGCAGAAGTTTGAAGAACATTATCCAACTGACATGTCTAGAGATGCTTACACGTCAAATATAACTCTGAAGATAGGCCAATGCTTATTGATCTCAGCAGCCACGGCTTCTGAGTGATTTACGTACCTAAATTGGTCGCATTTGCAAGTGAGATCAAGTTCAACTGTGCAAGACATGCAGAAAACATGGTATTCTTGAGACATTAACCAAACCTGAAGAGGTAGGCAAACCGATCAATATGAACAGTTAATTCACGAGCATGTTTCTTGTCCAAACCTTCTTCAGCCACTTCCTGGTTTACAAAATTTACAAATGCCATTTCTATAAGTAGAAATTTCATCATACAAACAGTAAACACACGATTTGTCAAGGTGGCTAACCTTTAGAGGAGATGCAACCAAAAAGCATAGTTTCTCCAGAGCATTCTTGGCCTGATCTGAAGGAAGTTCGGTAACAACCATACTGCAAAATTGAAAATCAGAGATATCAACGACACATGAAATGGATAGGAAATTTCATCTCTCCATCAATGGACTCAAAGAGAGCACAAAATGCTATACCTAAGGGCTTCAACAAGATGTAATGAATCTTCAGCAGAAACCTTATAACCACCTCCCCCATTTATCGCCATACAGTAGATATCGAATAAACCATCAAAATATCCACAGAGATTTCTTCGGCAATCTGCAGTATGTGTACAATTAGTAATACAGAGGCCAGATAAGTACCGAAAGGAACAATTTCGTGAAATCCAAGGAAGAAAAAAGGAAAACACAAAATACAAAAGAAAAAATAAAAATGAACCAGATTTCTTTGTACGAGAGAGCACTGCTCTCATAATACTGTCAATGATAACGCTAAAAATCGAAAAGAAGGCAAGATGGCCAGGTTTGGAAGGGCAAATACAATACCATCACATATATGCCTAAAAGCCAGAGCTGCAGCTGCTGCACAGTCTTCGGAGGTGCCCAGCCCACTCAAAAGAATTCTTATAACTGATGGCAATATAGACTGACTAGCTGGTGCTGCGTTAAGCCATTTTGAATATGCCCCGACAAGCAAGCATGCTGAAATCACACATGGAATCAGATTTTTGATTATTCAACGCTTCAGATACAATATAGCCATTGATTCAGGGAAGATGAAAAAATCACTAGGAGAATTCCGCAGATCAGAAACCAGTGAGATTGCACCAAGCAGCCCACCTAACTTATCTCCAACACCATATATGTTATAAAGAAAACCTGATTACCTGACTGAAGCAACTGAGCCTGCTGAGGAAGATTTTGAAGCAAGGACATCACCTGCAAGCAGAAGATAAGTGGGAAATAAATTTATTAGTATCGATAACTAATACATATGAACATTCACAAAAGGGAAAAAAGGAAGCAACATAAGTACTTGATAGAAGCCATACAAGCCTTTTAATTACAACAAAAACCTGCCAGCAACAGCATGGTATAGCCATGCGCAAATGGGGGAACTGTCAAGAACACAAACCTGGGGCATCACTTCAGCTTCAACAACTGATACATAATTTGATATTGCCCATATACAGAACAAAATAGCTTCTGCTGGACGCCATTCTCTAAACTCATTTCCTGACTGAGCATTGGCCTTGAAAAATAATAAATATAAGTATCAAAATGTGATGTTCAAAACCCAAATGATCTCAGGGATTTCTGTATCTGTAATTATATTAATTAAAATATTGGAAGTTGCAGCAACCTTGCTTCAATACCTCCAATTTTCTTTGACAAAAAAGAATTAGAGCACACACCTCAAGAAGCTTCATAAATAAAATCTTAAGGGTTGTATCACCTCCTAATATCGATGCTGCATCTATTAAGACATCTGCAACAGCTGGCAACATCACAAAGTCTATCAGTACAATTGATGAACTGAAGCCAAGTCTCGACAAAAGGAAGCAATTGCATTCTCTGAGGTGGTCAAACACACCAGAAAGCTAATTGAAAAAAGGAAACAAGTAAAACATGATTAAGATGTACTGTCATAGCTTATCAGAGCTATTTTGAAGAAGTCAAAGGAAGTAAAAGGAATCACACCCTGCAAAACGAAGAGACTAAACAAAATAATCTCAGAAGAATAGTGGTCTATCTGCTATGGGAATCAAGTTTCAAGGAAGAACACAGAGGGACCTAACCAGCAATAAACAATCAACTGTCTTACTTTAATCATCTATCCTCCAGAGCCAACAGTTAAATCAGGCTGTGGTGCAAACTTGATATTTATGAAATGTACTCTAATGCAAACTCTGATACCCATATTCACTACCTATTTGCTTACTACAGAAGAACTACTGAAAACTCTTTCCAACATCTGATGGCATATAAATGGTGGAAGACCTATGCCCAGACAAATTTATATTGTCAAAATTCTTATCTTCTCTACTTCATGAGTATTAACTCTTGAACCTTTCTACGATCTATGCCAAATCCAAATCAATTGTCCAGAATACTTTTATTACTTTATTTTGTAAGAGTAATGCAAAGTGTTATTTCAATGTCACATTGATCAAAACAGAAAAGGCTGAAGACAGTTTAGAGGACTGGGTACTGTTATCTTTAAACACCCCCTTGTCTCTGAAGATTAAGAGAATGATGAAGAAAAGCCAATAAGATTACCATATCTAGTCTGCTTGAATTCTTTAAGGTCCTCGTATGAAAGACCTTGATAATCTTGAGGATATTGAACCCTGAAGCTAACCTGTGAAGGACAACCAACTTGGTCTAGAAGCTTAAACTCACAAAAGAAACACGAACTCCGTAATGCACTAATGCGTGCACTGAACAAGAATAATTCAACTAATTTTTTTACATTCCTCCAAAAGGTGGTCTCTCAATGAAATTTTAGCAAACTGACATATCATAGTAAAAAAGCAGTATTATCATATTCAAAAGATAGCAGTAATCTACTTGTACACATAAAGAATTGACTCATGTGAAGTTTAAGCAATTCCTTAGAGAAAGGCTAAGCCTTTATTAGGAACAGGTGGCAGTATTCTTTTTGAGGTAAAGAGAGTGGATAACAAAAATGAACTTGGGAACTATATCAGACAAACTCACCAAGGATACAAGTGACTCATAGGCTGGCCTGAAGATATGCAGCCTACGGTTTCTCTCAGCTTCAATGGATGCCTCACTCCCCAAAGAAATATAAGAGTCCCTGGCAAATTAAATCTTACATGCTCAGATTACGACACTAGGAACAACTAGCAAACATAGGCAAGGCAGAAGTTACCTCTTTGTCAAAGTAAGCTGAAGGCTGTGCCAAAAGTTGAAGGTCATTGAAGCTATATCATATTCTGGGTGTGCAGTGACCTCCAGTAGGGCTTGGATAATAACCATTGATTCATCTGAACCTGGAGTGAAGAATAGTATCCACCTTAGAATTCATTTTATAGTCCCTAGAAATGCACTAAGACACCATCCCCACGAGGCAACTAAGGATCTCTGTAGTACTAAAAAGCAACCAAGGGAATAAAAAGTAAAAATGGAGCGTCATGGAATACTAAAAGGAAGGTTATATACCAGTAGCAATCAGTTCAACATAGGAATCACCTATGTCAGCAAACAATCGAGCAATGGCTTTGACATCCTCTTCATCCTGAAAGTGAAACGACTAAGAGCTAAAAGAGCAAATACATGAGATTGAAATATTTTTTTTTCCCATCATGATTGAAGAACTTATAAGGGGCTCCTTTGCACATGCCAGAAAATGGACCAGCCTTTGCCAACGTACCTAAGCACACTATCGTACCTCACCAAGCCTCAAACAGTAAACAAAAAATATGTGCAACAGTATTTATGCTTCAAACTAGACTATGCCATCTATTTCTCTAAAAATAAAAATTAAGGATCACATTCAGTACCTTTGAAGAATCTAACAGATGTGCCTTTAGACTCAAAACATGAGGCACAATCACTTGGATCAAGGGTGTTTGTGCAGAAATGCCACCAGAGTTCGGTGATGCCGTGTGATGTATCAATTCAGAGATGACTACAAAAATGAAAGAGGAAAATTTTAGTTTACTGACAAAAGTTCTAATACTGTATTCTATAAAAGGAGCCTTGACTTGAACTCATACAAAAAGGAAAGAAAAGAAAAACACCCAGGTGCCTTTAATCATTTCTTTGATTAAGAATCAAACCAACAAATCTGATCCTTTTAAACAAAGAAATAGTCTAAAACTATATGGCTGCAAATATATGAACAAGACTCTGTCACGAGCATACCATTCACAGATGCCTCTGAAAGTGGATCACAGTTCAAACTTGAGAGAGCTGCATGCACCAATGGATGACAGGCAAGCATGGCTCCAGGAATCCTTACAAAATGACAACATAATACCACTGCAGTTTAGCTAGTCTCATGATCAACAAATTGTATACCATTGTATATAGAGCAGACAACCAAATTCCAGTAAGTACAACTACTGATGTCAAAAGATGGTTCTCCAGGTCATAGAAACCTCATTTTGAAAAATTAAAAAGCGAAATATATACTTTTCTGCTAATAACAGGCAACAAAAATGCAACTAAATTAAGGACGTACAATAATTCTAGATACGTGCCGTCAAACTATATTTCTATGACAATAATAGTATAGTGAAATTGGTTTATTTTCAGCCTGATGATTTTTTTGAATATGTTATGAATGAGAGGTTTGATTGTAGATTTTTTAAAAAAAGAAGAGAGATGTGGACGAAGTAGAAACCACCATACCCATGACTAAGTCGAAGCCAAGAAGCAAACGCTTCAAGAACCTGGAAACTCAAAATCACGGCAGAAAACAGTCCAAAATTAAATAGAAATGTTGCAAAACCAAAAACACTCGGGCAGAGCATGAAACCTCTATATAATCTGTGCATTCAGAGATAGGGGAAACTTATTCCAAAAATTAGAGAAAACAATAGCATAAACTTCAACAATTTGAAGGAGAATTCAGATTAAACATTAGAAAACAAAAAATATCCCCCATCCCCTGAACCCTAGAGAATATAGATAAGCTCCAACCTGTTCCTTAAGTTCGGTTATATTTAAGCATGCTGCCAATATACTTAGTGCGACCTCCATTTGAGAAGTGAGCTCTTTCTCAAATTGACGACGCCGATCAGGACGAGCTGCTATTTTGTAGTTAAACGCCTCCTGATCATAGCAGAAAAAAAAAAATCTGACGACTAACTTCATCGCTAAATCATAATTCAAGCATGTAACATGTCGTCTACAGCCAATGGCATGAAAACATGTTCCCTAAAGATATATAAACTAACCAAAAAGCGAAGTAGAAAATAAAAACTTATTACAAACATTTTGTTTAGTCAACAAATGATTTTTCATGTTTTTTGCAAGTAACACCATGCAGAAAAGCTTTCTTAAGTGTTACAAGCTCTCATTGAATGGTAACTACAAATTAACATTACAGTTTTAAAAGTGACAATAGACACGCACCTGCATGGGCAAGAATATCCGGAACTCTAACAGTAAAGGAAAAAATGCATATTAAATAAGGCCGTCAACTAAGGTAGGTCTAGCTCAATCTTAGGTCAACAATGCCAGAATAACTCAGAGAGGGGACTAAACAAATCAAGTCAGACCAAAATTAGCCTTTACATAAATGATTTCACTTCTAAACACCACTACATATTACTATACCTCAGGTAAAACAGTCAATAGTTCCAAGAAACCAGGTACATATTCGGGATGCATATTCATCTCCTCCCTTAGCCAGCTAACTATACCACCATCTCCCCAATCTCCAGCAGGAACGTGCACGGCCAAGGCTGCAACTGCAATACTAATCTACAACGCAAAATAGTTGACAAAGAAGACGAAGTACATGACTTTTTATATAAATAAGCAATAGCCTATATTCGCACGATGGGAAAGTTTTTCTGAAACTTACCTGGGTCCGAACTTTTGGAGGGCCTTTGTGAAACCTTTTCAACAATGTCTGCATTTAAGACAATAATGAAATAAAATTTCAGTGGGAAAACTAAGAAAGTATTTGAGCACAGCCTCTATTATTCAGGTAGGATATTTTGATGAGGTATTTAAGACAGTTCCAGTGAAAAACAAAACACTGTATAATCTAAGTGCTGCTATATACTTTTCATGTGGACACTAACTGCACTCGAGTACCCACCACATTTGACCCACAAGCCCCAAACTTAAAACTTAAAATTTTGAATAGATAGATCAGATTGCAAATAGAATCTTCTGGGATATTCAATAAATAATCATGTAAAAAAGACTAATCTAAATTTAAACGTCCTAAACCACAGCCAGCTGTAAAACTTATCTAAATTCCGATCTACTACAAGAACAACCAGATATAGGCCATTAAGATAGATCCAAACTATTGCTCTTTGGGGAAAGCCGAAACCTCAGATATGCAGTGTAGTCGGAGTCAATTCAATACACATAAACATGCAGCACTATCTAATGGCTCACAGAGAGTTTGAATATTAACTTACAGTTAAGGAATCCCGCAGCTTTTGAAAAGCCCCTGGTGGCAGTTCTTCAAAATCTCTTTGAACCTTTGAATTGGATAAAACATCATATAAGACAAGTATTAGACTATTAAGCAACTTAAGTCAGTAGCTCGCAGTTCTCTGGAACAGAACAAATCCACAGGAATAATACAACAATTTACAGAAAAGTCTAATTTATATTACCTTGCTTCTAAGCGTCTGAGAACAAAATATCAGAGTCTCCAAATTGCTGGAAGAATCATGAAGTAAATTATCCGCAACCTATAGAACATTCAAAAGATGAACAATACTTTAAAAACATCACAGCCACCGAAACATAAAAAAAGCTGAGGAAGCGAAAATTCCGATCCTTGAAATCAAGAAGCATATTTCGATCAAGAAAAACATTTAGCCACTAAAAGAACATAAGAAAACCAAGAAAATCAAATTCTTCAACACTGAAAAATCTACTTAAAAGCTCTAAGCCTACTTCTCCATGCTAAATAATAAAGAGTGATGATTGAATCTGAAGTCTATCTGTACAAATTCAAAATCACATCACTCGTATTGAAAACCCAGTTCTCGTCTCCTCACATTCATCATTTTCAATACGGAAGAAATACAAACTTTAAGTTAACTAAAAGCAAAACTACTGAACAAGAAACTAAAGTCGAATACAGTAAATCCATGTTTTTCTATTATAAAACAAGCAAGAGAACCTAAGGAAATGAGGATTCCAAAGCTGTAAGAGCACCGGAGAGAGTTAGCCGCGAGAGAGAGAGAGAGAGAAGAGAGAGAGAGGGACAGAGAGACTCGCCTGCCAGGCATCGAGAGTTCCCTGGAAGTTCTGGAGCCAACGATCAGCTTGAACACGCACTGTATCGTCCGGGTGATGATACAACGCATTTAGGGCTTCTTTGACCGCATTCTGGTGCTCCATCGCCAACCTTTACGGTGACTCAACACTCTCCTGCCGGAGAAGAAGAAATCGCCAAGCTGAAATCTGGGTTTTCCTCGAATCGAATTCGAAAACTCCGAAAACGAGAATCAGATTTCGCCGAAAACAAAAATTTCGAGCCTTTTTTTTCAACACTAGATAAAAGGGTTTTTTTTTTTGGCGCCCCCACCCTTTCTCCGTCAGAGTGAGAGAGATCGAAATTTCGGGATTTTGATCAGAGAAGACGATGAAAGAGACAAAGCCTCGGCCGTCAGATCTAAATACTGTTTGACATTAAGTCAATACTGAGTTCAAATAGAAGGGGAATATTAGTGTGTATGCGAGAATTCGGTAGGACCTCCTACGATGCCACGTGGAACCCTTAATCACCGAGGATCTTGTTCATGAAGACTCCTGTCTGAAAAACCATGAGAAGGAAGCAAACCAAAACAAAGATTTTAACAAGACAAAATGTTACAATCTCACGAATCATGATCTGGTGATTTATTTAGTTAAAAAGATACAAAGAAAAGAATAGGGCCGAATCCCATCCCTCCCTCTATTGCCTACAAAGTGATATTAATTACAATAAACATGAGAAGATTTATGAAGATCGGTCCGAGTTTCCATCAGCATGGATGTGCAGCCACTCTGGTCGTGGCCCTCGGGTTTCATTGGCTTCTCGTTAACCGAATATATTCCTCTGAACGTTGAGTGGAAGAGAGCCGAGCTGCAAACACAATAAACGCCACAAGTTGTGAAACTTTGTAATGCATAACAACAACAACAACAACAACGCCTTAATCTCAAATTTATTTGGTCCAACGGCGCGAATCCTTTCCTTCATGATGGATACTTGAAAAAAAATGCAAAAACCAGCTTCATGCCCAATCAACAAAGGCCGAAGGGAAAAAAAGAGAGACCCGTTATAGAGCACTCGATTCCCTTGATTCTAGAGGATAAAGCTTTGATTTTCGCTATCAATCTCTGGATTGGATTAGACGTACACTCTGAAAATTCACATGATAAATGCATTGAATGGAATACGTTAGATTTGGGACTTACATCTCCAGAAGGAAAAACTTCACCTGCAGGACCAACGCCTATACCCGAGTTAACAACTTCTAGCTTCATTGAGAGAAACTGCAGCCCAAATCGTTATAAACGTGAATATATATATATATATATGGCATCCTTAACAGAAAGATACAAATACATAGATGTCCGTCCCAACATACCTCGACTTGCCGTTGTAATGACTGAATGTAATTAATAATCTCATCAAGCACAAGAGCTTTACCGATAAGCTGATAACATGTGGAACACTATATCAAATATTGCAAAAGCATAAATGCATTTCTGGAGGGATTAGTCCAATAGCAGCAGTAAGAGTGATGGATCCTAATGTACAGAGAATAAAAAATAATGCAGTTTCAAATGTGAGACTAGAAGAACACCAGATACCTTGTTACATCCCGGGACTAGATCTTGAAGAACATTCATCCTCTCGCTGATCTTCTCTCTTCTAGCCTGCCAAAGAAAAAAATCACATTGTCAGAGAATCGTTTGGGAATGAAACAAGGTATGAAGATTGTGCTGACGAGTATAACAGGAAGAGAACAAGCAAAACCTGCCTAGCTGTATCAAACACTATCCTGATTTTGTGTTATTTTTGACAATCGCAAACGTATTACAACACAAGAAAAAGGCAACCAATGTCAATGGTAAGATGATAAAGATTCGATCATGAAAACATCATAGTTTGAAAACCGTATGAAGATAAAGGCAAAAAAGGTTAATATTAATAAAGAGAATTACTCGCTCTGCTAGACTGTGCCGGTCAGTAGCTTGTCCTCTTCTCGCTCTCACATGAATGTAATCCTTTGGTGGCTCGGGTTTGCTGTTTTGTTCCATTGCTTTGCTCCCACCACCAGAACTTGTTTCACCTTCAGGTCTTGCAACATCCCCATTTTCTCTTTCTGATCCAGAAACTTTCCTTTTCTTCTTCTCACTCAATTCATTCTGCTAAAAAGCAGGCAACCCAGCCATTTACACATTACACAGATAGAAATGCAAGTAAAAACGCTTTATTCTTGGAAACCCATTTCCCTGCCAGTTTCCTTGAGTTGAGAATCAAGTATATAGAAGAACAAAATGGAATCGATTATGCACCATTGACCATTCAAATTAAAAATATATACAGGCACAGTCAAGATACTAAAAACGAATATTAGATGAACAAAGACAGAGAAACAAGCATACTGAAAATAAGAAACAATACACATATATCTTTGGTTTGAGGACCTGATATACTTTTGGATTCACAACGTCCATTTCTCGGAGAAAGGCTAGGGGAGGTTTCCTGAGATGATTGAAGTGATAAAGCACATAAAGGGCCAAACTTAACTAGTCAATTGCTTGTGATTTTATCTCATAGCCCACCACTTTCCAGGAATTAAATGACCAGGCAAGCATAAAAAAAGGTAGTCAACAACAGTACTAACAATCAAGGACAATGATCATAAACTACAGATAAGGAAATCCTACCAAATAAACTCGACTTGTATACCAAAGAAACATAAAAACAATTGTTTATCAAAAGTGATAAGGAAATGAAGAGCTTTGACACCGTCACACTGTGGTTTCCTTTCAGAATGAGGGGTCCGAAGCTCAAACTAAGTCAAAAAACTTGCTCCAGATATAATCACTTCTCTACGTCATCTACCAAACTAGTCCTGATACAAAACTATGCTTTGTCCCATCCGTTTTGGTTCGAATCTTGAGGCTGAGGTTATGGAGTCAAACCCAGTGTTCGGATTTTGTTGCTTATATAACTAGCGGATCAAATGAAAACAAAGCAAGGTAAAGCTTCTTAAATTTTTTTCTCCTTGTAAACGAATGAGCTTTCGAGTGATTCCCAAGTCATACTCCCATTCCAGCTTCAAACCATAATGGTACACAGGGGAACCAACAAAATCTAATGCGGTCTATCACATTTCGGCTAGTCAAAGCAAATCCTAGTCGGAGTTTTCAACGCGGTGGAAGAGAAGCAGTCTCAGAGTCAGACACGGGATCACGATGTCAGGTTCGACGCCTACAAATGGACCAACTGCCGAAATAGACACTAAGAATCTAACACAGTTGAAGTTAAAGACACTGAGAAAGCCATAAACCAGACTTAACGGAAATCATATTCCTGGCATGTGCAAGAAGAATCAGAAATCCAAAAGCGACAAAGGAGAGCAATTCAGTGGGAAACTCACCAACCCATTACCGCTACTGCTCGAAGAGGCCATCTTGGAAGGTTCGTCCTCGGAGTTCAAATCCCTCCTCTTTCTTCCTCCACAGCCGCCGCTGTGTTCCGTCACCGTAGATTCCTCCGCCGAGATGTCCTTGTTGCCGAAAAATTCAGCCTTTCCGCCGGAATTAATCGATAGACGGAGCCCAGAGCGGAGGCCGTCGTTGGCAGGGAAAGGCCAAATCTCAGAGAGGGTATAGGACGAAGGATTTGCAGTGAAGGAAGATTCGCTCACAAGCGGAGGGTCCATTTCCGACGATGATACACGAGTTCATCCAAAAAAGGGTAGAACCAGATCCGAAAAGTGAGGAACTTAATCTCAGGATTTGAGCTTTGCGAGGTCTCACGATTTGTCGCGTTTATGGGAGTGTGTGGGCGTGAGGAGAGGAATAGATACACAAACCGAGAAGAGTGAGGGGGAGAGAGGGGTAAGACGTCATGATGTTCCTATTTTGAAAGAAACTAACGGCGTCGTTTCGCTTGCTCGTAGTCGTAGCTACCGTACGTCAAAGATCTTATTGGGCCCATATTGGGCTGGGTTGGACGATGTATGAATTTAATAGATTTTACTTTTATTTAAACAAAGGAGGTCCAGGTGGAGAAAATGGAGACACGTGGAGACTAAAATTCGATAAAATTATTCGATTTTAGGGTATTGGTCTTCATTTAAATCCGAATCCGAATTTAAATCCATGAATACCTATAAATCTGAATTTGAATTCGAATGATTTTAGTACGAATCCCTGGATAATTTTAATATAAACAATTATATCTCTATATATTTATAATATTTTTATAAAATATAATTATTTTAGGTTAAAAGATTTCTCATTTTTTTTAACATTAAGTCAAGAAAATTAAATTTAGTTTTCTCTATCTGTCACAAACTTTTTTATCTTTTACTTTAACTGTGGTTCATTCTTCTCTATAATCAAACCTTCAATTTTTTTTTAATTTCATGTATAAATATTATTGCTTTTTATTAAATAAATTTGGAACTAGATATCTACGAATACTCAGACATTGTTTTTGGATGTTCATACATGGATATAAACCCTCGAGTTCGAATATAAATATTAAAATAAAATACCCAAATTTTATAGATACGAATCCGAATAATTCGATTTTACTCGATATATGATCTCTGTCCATCCCTAAAGACCGCTCATGTTTTATCTCTATATAACGACTCTACATTTCATGGATAAATCATCAAAGTATTATCTAGAAAACTAGGACGTGTACGGATCTCGAACTTACTCCGGACTCCTTCAAATACGGACTTACGACCATAGGATCTTCGGGTTCTGTCGTTTCTTTTTCAGATTCCTTACAACTTCATAAATTGAAATTTCACTGTAAAATTTGTTACACTTTCGATTAAAAGGGCATTTTAGCAAATATCCAGCACATCCAGGGGCTAACCTGTAAAAACAGTCACGGTTCAATTGCATATGCTTCAATCAAGCACGTGTCAGGCACGTGATACGAACAAAGCTCCCTTCCCTCCTCGGTTATTGCTCCTTGGTCCTTATTATGGTTGCCTTGCTTGATCTTTGGAACATTTTTTTTTTTACTTTCCAGTTAGCCATTCGTCTCTCTACCTTTCGTTTTTTTTTTACATCTCCTCTCTGGATTGCTTTGGGATCAGAAAAAGAGGAGACGGACAATGGAGAAAGAGAAACCAATGAAGAGAATGTACCTCAGCAATGTATAATACATGCAGCATATACAAATGAGCCTGGCACAGGAAGGAGATGGGCATCGACAGTCAGAAACTTTGATGCAAAATGACGATCCTTTGGATTACTTGAAATAGAGCTCAAGGAGTTTCTTCAAGGTGTCGAAGGTGCTTGTGAATGGGTTTAATTCGATGGGGGCTTTCAACCCAAGATCTGAAAACTGGTTTGTCAGAGCTTGCTGCATCCCCGACATGGACATCATGGCCGCTAGCTGACTGTTTGACATCGCTTCACAGTCCTGGGGTGTGTCTTTTATTTTTGCTGGGTCATATCCAAACTGTGCCAAGTAATTCTTGTACTTGTCGATGAACTCTGGCCCAGGAGTGGGTGTTCTTGAATATATCTGAAACACGAAAAACCATATATACATATATACATACGCAGCAATGGAAGGAATTCAACCCTGAGAACCTCGGGAAATCACAGCACCTGGACAAAGCTTCGGTCTTTGGCCCCGGATACAAGAGCAAACGTGTCGTAGTCGGTGGCTATCACATCATAAGGCTCCTTGGGAATGAAAGGAAGGGTGGGGAATCGGAGGTAACACTTCTCTTTGATCATCTCTCGCTTTTCCAAATCAGTCTCAGTTTTCTCTAGGTCTTCCTCCGGCAGACATTGAACTCTGCCCCTTATCCCTGTTATGTACCCATCAGGGCCGCCATGAATGCAAAATGTATCGACCTGGATGGCTGGTGCTTTTGTATCGACCGTGTATACACCCTGCAAACAGAACAGAAACCGGTAAAAAAAAAACATTTTCCAGTTCAAGCCCAAGTGTTTATAACCAAAGAGACCGTTTTACTTGAGTGCAATGGCAGTCTTCTTGGCCCTGACCGGCGAATCCACGCTTCAGGGAAGCAACCTCGAACCATCTGCCCGAGTACCTAATCGGGTCAAAGTCCTTTGCAGTCATACCTCTCATCATCATCATCCCCGAGCTTCCTCTTCCATCAGGTACATTTTCAAGCAGAAGAGTCGGTTTATTATCATCAGTAGCAACACTTGCTAGTTGGCAAAATCTTTGGTAACTAGGCAGCAGATCAGATGCAATTGCAATACCCTGGCAAGAAAAGAATGCATGACAAAAACATCATAAAAACTCAAACCATGACACCTTACGGCAGAAGACAAACAGCATTATTTTTCAAACCTGGCCCGCCTGCGAGAGAAGCAGAGCAGTTGCAAAGCCAGAGACGAAGCTGGTTGTCAATGTCTTGATTGGATTCGGATTCTCTGAGGAACATTTCAACTTCATCTTCTTTCGAAACACCCTGCAACGGGTTGTGTTGGAGAAACGACATCCAGTGTCGACCCAGATCCTGGAACATCTGCTGTTTTCATCATGGCGAGGATATCATAAGAAATTTGGGAGTAAAAATTGAAAAAGCACATCGCTTTTAGGGTTCGGAATCGAGAGAGCTGTGGAGCTCTGAGCGGTGGAAATGTTCAGCTCACCTTGTCGTTACAGATGGAGAGGAGCTCTTGATGAGAAGAGGCTTCGATAAGCTTATGGTATCCATCATTCCTCGCTCCTTTCGATCGCCACGGATTTCCTTTGATTAGCTTTTTATGAGAAGTGGATGTGTTTGTCGGTTTATTCGCCCGCTGCTCTGCCTCTGTAAACGCTGTCGTTTCGAGAGTAGACACAAATGTTCTTCGGCTGTCAATGATCCATCCTTGGATGGAAGTAAACGCCAACACGGTGGATTAGGGCGGAGTCCTGGTGGCGAGCGAATGATTCCTCCATGACCCGAATCGCCGGCCGGAATGACGTCAGCGCCGATGACGGCTGGAATCCCGGACGGGTCGGAAGGAGCCGCCATCGGAGACTTCTTCAGGCGAGGCGATTCTCATGACCCATCCGCGAAGACAAACCGGAGACTGAGAACGGTCGGCATCGCTAGAAAATCCCGGCGGAGAATCGGCAATTCGAGGAGAGAGAGAAAGTGGATCGACGACTGAGAAAACCAAAAAAAAAAAAAAAAAGCAAAAGAAAAGATTAAGAGTAATCACGTTCTCTTATGATTCGTTACAAATTCTCCCCAATCGAAAATCGATAACCGTATCGGATACAATTTGTCAATTTTTATTAATTAATATAAGATTAGGATAAACTTGTACGGATATTTATCTAACAAGATTTAGTTGTTATCTATTATATTAAATCGATTTTACAAAAATATTAATTTTATAGATAGTGATCCTACTTCAATATCTTATATCTTATACTATAAATAATACAGTCGCACTATTATATCCACAACTGTAGCATGGATAAGAAAACGTTCCAAACCGATGCCAGTGGGAGAATTTCTGATGGGAACAGTCCTCCCATGGAAGCGACGAAGAAGGTTGTTTACAGAGGGTGGAAAGTCATCCCATTCATTCTAGGTACGGGCCTTGTATTCAAATTACGATCAAAATATCTTCACATTTTCATCCTTTTTATATATATCATATTAATTATTATTAAATCAAGCTGATACAACGAATTTGTATACACGGTTGTGAACTAATCAGACGTAAAAGATTGAATCTTTATGGAAACTCACGTTCGTTCTTAAGATGAATAATAACAGATATTGCATTTTTTTTTGGGATTGATAGGATAAAAAAAAAACAAATTGGTTTTCCTCCATTGTTGGATCAGGGAACGAGGCATTCGAGAAGCTGGGGATCATAGGGACGATGTCGAACCTTCTGTTGTACCTCACTTCTGTCTTCAACTTGAAGAGCGTTACAGCAGTGACCATCATCAACGCCTTCGGCGGAACCATCAACTTCGGCACTTTCGTCGCCGCTTTTCTCTCCGACACCTACTTCGGTCGCCACAAGACACTTCTCTTCGCTATCTTCGCTTGTTTTCTGGTGATGATCCTCTCTCTTCTCTTCTCCCCAACGACGTTTAATGTCTCGAACCTTTTGTGTTCACTATTGGTGAGTTTCTTAATTCCTTGAAGGGATCACTTGTGATGGAACTGACCGCATTAATCCCGCAACTGCACCCGGTTCCTTGCGGAACAGGGCGAGAAATCGAATGTAAAGGGCCAAACGCCGGGCAAATCATGATTTTGGTAACGGGTCTCGGACTCCTCGTAGTGGGAGCAGGGGGTGTCAGACCGTGCAACTTGCCATTTGCAGCCGATCAGTTTAACAAGAAAATCGAGTCCGAGAAAAAAAAGTCTGACAGTCTCTTCAGCTGGTACTTCTTCACCTACGCCATGGCTCAGATCGTGTCGTTGACGCTGATTGTGTATGTACAGTCCAACGTCAGCTGGGCAGCTGGTTTAGCCATCCCGCCCGTTGTCACGCTCGTGGGTTTCCTGATTTTCTTCGCGGGTGATAAATTGTACGTGAAAGTGAAAGCCTCGGGCTCTCCTTTGGCTAGTGCAGCTCAAGTCATAGTCGTCGCTATCAAGAAGCGAGGACTGATGCCGGTGAATGAGCCTTGGCTTGATCTCCACAACTACATTCCACCAAAACATGCAAACTCGAGGCTTGGATACACTGACCAGTTCAAGTGAGTTTATAATTCTCTTTTTGGATGTTTTCTTGTTACCAATTCATTTTCTCTGAGAAACTTCTACAAGTATTTTTGGCAGATTTCTTGATAAAGCGGCGATCTTGACACCCGAGGATAGGTTAAACCCGGACGGATCACCGGCTGAGCCATGGAAACTGGCTACCATGCAGCAAGTTGAGGAAATGAAATGCATTCTGAGAGTGCTCCCCATCTGGTTTTCAACCGCGGTTTACTACCTAGCCATAGCCCAACAGATGACATACCCAGTCTTGCAAGCTCTTCAGAGCGATCGACGCATCGGTTCAGGGAAATTCGAGATCCCAGCCGCCACCTACACCGTATTCTTGATGGCAGGAATGACGGGTTTTATCATAATTCACCAGACTCTGCTCAAGCCGCTTCTCAAAAGGATAACCGGTGTAACGCTCTTACAAAGGATGGGAACTGGAATGGCATTTTCGGTTGCGAGTATGGCGATTGCAGGGATCGTGGAAAGGCGGAGGAGAACCATAGCCCTGACGAAACCAACGCTCGGGAACGATCCCAAGAGGGGCGCAGTCTCCTCCTTCTCGGGGCTATGGCTGATCCCGCAGCTCATACTGGCGGGGATAGCTGAGGGCTTAATGGTCGTCGGCCAAAATGAGTTCTACTACGAGGAATTCCCCGAAAACATGAGGAGCTTCGCAGGTTCTATGTACTACGTCGGCACAGGAATCTCGAGCTACTTAGGTAGTTTCTTGATATCGATGATCCACAAGAGGACAACGCATTCGCCGACGGGCAACTGGTTGGACGAAGATCTGAACAAGGGAAGGTTGGATTACTTCTATTACATGATAACGGGGATTTCCGCTGTGAACTTTGTTTGCTTCTTGGTTATGGCCAAATGGTACAGGTACAAAGACATTGATGACGAGACCGAAGCTGAGGCCGAGAATCTGGACAGAAACAACTCTGTATGATGAGCTTGGTCCGCATCTTTAAATAGGGTTTTATGTTCCTTTGGCGGCCTCTTCATCAATTTTTGTAAATAACGAATGGGGAAAACAAAATTAAAGTTCGTTGATTTAGTCTTTGTTTTGCAATGACTGAAAAATATGATTAGTTTGATTACAAAATGGACTGAATATTATCTTTTTTTATTCATTTATTTTTTTTAATAAACGCAAAATATTTTTTTTATGGAAAATTAATGTAGAGTATTCATGATTTCATGTTTTTACTAAAAATAAACGAGCATTCAAAAAAAGTTATGTTATGTATTTGCACAAATGCCATTTTAAATTCGAGGAAATATTTTTTTTAAAATGCTTGATATGGAGAAATAAATAGCATCTCCCTCTTCTCTATCGGAGGATAAAATATCTTTCAATGTTTTAAAAAGATTGAATCATATGGATTTTGCTTTATCTTATCCGATAAAGTATGGTATTTTTTTAAAATCTTTTAAAAAAATTATTGGCATCATTACGACACCAAGACCAATAAAAATAAACCAAACAAAACACAATATTTATGTATTCAGAGTTTGGCTGACCCAATATTTTCAGATTCTGGGGCGTATAACCATTGTCCATGGCCGAGACATCTTCAGGACGGCCGAGGAATTTTCTGGTGACGGGAATGTTTCAGACCGTGTAAGCTTGCTGAATCGTTTCTGTATCGAGTCCCTTCAGTCTCACCACCAATTCAACGTGGCCCTTTGGCGTGTGAAGCTCCTGCAACCTAATGGAAACTTGAAAGTTCTAATGGAAACTTGTGGATTAGATTCGGTAGCCGAGTGTTAGAGTGTCACCTACCTAGCGATTTCAGCTCTCCTCTTGGCTTCTTCGGCCATTTGGTTAAGCTCGTTGAAATGGGTTCGCTCCGTGAACATCTTAGTATCCGTGGTTGCAGCCCATGCAACGTCCTCTGCGCATTGCGCCCATTGGAGCTCCCTCTGCTCTTTTCCAAAGTCCCTCTTCCTTGTGAATGCGATCTATGGAAAAGAAAAATGACAGAAAGAAAGGATTCACATTCCAAACTGTATCCAAAATCCGAGCATACAGAAAGTCAGAATCTTTTACCCTTTGTTCGATAACAAGGTCCCAAGCACGACCACTTAGCGCCTAGCAGATGAAGAACTTGATGAGATCAAGAGGAATGTAGAATATGATGTTGTAAAGCCAGATGACTCCGGCCCATCCCCATCCGATCCCTTCTATCGCCGTGAAGCTCCAATTCGCATAGACCACAGTTAGGGTAGCAACCTGTTTGCAAGAAAATGAGTCCAAGAATAGAATTAAACGACGCCCAAAAAAGACGTTTTACGTAAGGGCAACTTACCAACTGAGCAACGATGAAGGCCATCACGAGCAACAGACCAGGATGTTCCACATAAGACCAATGTCGTGACCATGTCACAAAGATAAGTGTCTGACTTGTAATACTAAATTGCAGGTATATCGCTGAGGCGAGCTTCCTAATATCATCATGTGTTGTTTTCTCGAGAGTCAAAACTCTAAAGACTCGTTGAAACGCAGATAAGATATCCATTCCAGTCGTTAAGATCCTTTTTGTTAACATCTCTTGGCATGAGACCAACAAATTGCCAAGGCCCTCCTGCACTCTCCGTCCTTCAAGACAAATGCATTCCCTCCTGCAGTCCCCTTCCTTCAAGACAAATACATTCAACCTTAAGATTTTTATGTCAGAAAAATTATTGCTGGATGCCCTAAAGAAGTTGACAAGATTTGCCAGCAACCTGGTACGCCACAGCAAGTGACCGCAAACCGCGTTCAACAAACTTATCATCATCATCATGAACTCTTCGCTCAATCTCTAACTTGTTGTGCTTCAGTATTTTTTTTAGATTCATTTAAAAAATTTAATATTTATTTGACAAAAAATCAAATTCAATTTTTTTTGGTCGAAATTGAAATGTTTCAATGTTTTTTTTTTTAGATTTTCCCTTACAAAAATGTCAAACCTATGATTTGATTTTTTCGAAACATGAAAGATTATCCTTTGGTTAAAAAGATGTTTGTTTGACCTCATCAAGTATTTTTTTTTATTAATAATTAAAAATAATATTTTTAACCAATACTTCAATTTTGTTCTCACAATTCTTAATCTCAAAAAACCCACTGTACAAGAGGAGCAGGAAGAGCCAACCCTATTATGTATGCTTCATTAATTCCTCCGTGACTTGCACCCAAAAAAAATGCAGAAAGAAAGATGGAAAACGAATATAAGACTCATCATGCAGCGTTCTGCGTCTCGTCATCAATGTCTTTGTACCTGTACCATTTGGCCATAACCAAGAAGTATACAAAGTTCACAACGGAAATCCCCGTTATCATGTAATAGAAGTAATCCAACCTTCCCTTGTTCAGATCTTCGGCCAACCAGTTTCCCGTCGGCGAATGCATCGTCGTTTTATGGACAATCGATATCAAGAAACTGCCCAAGTAGCTCGAGATTCCTGTGCCGACGTAGAAGATAGAACCCGCAAAGCTCCTCATGTTTTCGGGGAACTCCTTGTAGTAGAACTCCATCTGCCCAACGGCCGTCAAAGCCTCGGCTATCCCCGCCAGTATGAGCTGTGGCATCAGCCATAAGCCCGAGAAGGAGGAGATTGCCCCCCTCCGGGGGTCGATCCCGAGCGTTGGTCTCGTCAGGGCTACGGTTCTCCTCTGTCCTTCCACGATCCCCGCAATCGCCATACTCGCTACCGAAAAGGCCATTCCAATCCCCATCCTTTGTAAGAGTGTTATACCGGTTTTCTTCCCGGTTTTCTTCTTTAGGAGAGGCACGAGTAAAGTGTCGTAAATGACGATGAAAGCCGTCATTCCTGCCATCAAGAACACGACGTACGTGGCTGCTGGGATCTCGAATTTCCCGAAACCGAGGCGTCGGTCGCTCTGTAGAGCCTGGAAGACTGGGTATGTCATCTGTTGGGCTATGGGCAGGTAGTAAATCGCAGCTGAAAACCAGATGGGGAGCACTCTCAGAATGCATTTCACTTCTTCAACTTGCTGCATGGTAGCCAGTTTCCATGGCTCGGCCGGTGATCCGTCGGGGTTTAAGTTATCCTCGGGGGTCAAGATCGCCGCTTTATCAAAGAACCTGTCAGAATTTTGGAGGAGTCTCTCAGGGAACATAAACCCACAACAAGAAAGCATCGGAAAACACGAAAAACTCACTTGAACTGGTCAGTGTATCCAAGCCTCGAGTTTGCATATTTTGGTGGGATGTAGTTGTGGAGATCAAGCCAAGGCTCATTCACCGGCTTGAGTCCTCGCTTCTTGATAGCGACAACTATAACTTGAGCTACACTACCTAAGGGAGAACCCGAGGCTTTCACTTTCACGTACAATTTGTCACCCGCGAAGAAAATGAGGCAACCCACGAACATGAGACCAGCCGGGATGGCCAAACCAATCGTCCAGCTGACGTTGGACTGTATGTACACAATCAACGTCAACGACACGATCTGAGCGAAGGTGAAGGTGAAGAAGTACCAGTTGAAGAAACTGTCGATCCCCTTTTTCCCAGACTCGGTTTCCGGGTTAAACTGATCAGCTCCAAACGCTAAGTTGCACGGTCTGATGCCGCCAGCCCCTACTACGAGGAGTCCCAGACCCATTACCAGAAACGCAATTTGCCCGACATTTGGCCCTTCACACTCGATCCCCTGCTTTGTTCCACAAGGAACTGGGTGAAGTTGTGGGATCGCTGCGGTTAGTTCCATCACCAGTGCTCCCTTCAAGGAATTAAGAGAATCAATCACCAATGAACACAAAAGGTTTAAGGTATTAAACGATGTTGGGGAGAAGAGAAGAGAAAGGATCATTACGAGAAAACAGGCGATGATGGCGAAAGTAAGGGTCTTGTGGCGGCCGAAGTAAGTGTCGCAGAGAAAAGCGGCGACGAAAGTGCCGAAGTTGATGGTTCCACTGAAGGCATTGATGATGGCTGCAGCTGTAACGCTCTGCAAGTTGAAGACCGAAGTGAGGTACACCAGAAGGTTCGACATTGTCCCTATGATCCCCAGCTTCTCGAATGTTTCGTTCCCTGAGACAGAGGCATGGAGATTCAGACACAACTGAGAAACAGCTTAAGATCATACACATTGGAGAAGCTGGGAAATATGCACCGGAATTTAATTATAAAAAAAACAAATTATTGGAAAAAGAAAAGACTCGTACCGATAATATAAGGCATGACTTTCCATCCTCTGTAAACGACGACCTTCGCCTCCTGCGCCGCAAAGCCGCCATTTCCGGCGGAGGGTCTTTGAATAGTTTCGACCTCGAGGTTTTCTCTCTCCATATGATCAGACACGATCTTCATCTGCCGCAAGCTTCTCTCTTATTTATACAGAGATAGATAAGAGATAAAAAAAAAAAAATGTCGCAACCAGGAAATATGCAGCGAATTTTTCGCTGTGAAACTCCGTTTAAGAATATTTATATATATATATTTTTTATTTAAACCACAATTACTCTGCGATTTAGTTCCAAACTTATTAACACTGTAAATTATTTTCTCTCTTGATCATTATAAATTTTTAGATTCTCACGAATTATTAGTTTTTCTCCCATTATGGAATGAAATACAAAATCTTTATATAAAAAGATTTTTCCAAGTAAACAAATTTCTTTAGTTCCCATCTTTGACTTTGGGGGTAAAAGTTAGTGCTTCCATCTTTGACTCTAATTACATTTTCTTTTGGGGATATAATCATTAAATACATCGGAAACATAAAAAGAAAAACTCAGTATATATCCACCAAGATTATTAATCTAAAATATGTAAAAATATATTCGGTTGTCAAATCTAGCCGGTTTTACCGGCCACATACAATCAAAAGTATTATAATGTGTTTGTCTTGAGCAATGTTATTAATCAGTGTTGTTGTTATAATTACCTAAAATAATAAATTCCATTTTTCCTTCTCACCGTTCTCCATTTGTATACACGTATGAAAAATAATATACGACGGGTCCACCACTTATCGCATATATATATATAGATTGTGATTAACAAGTATGCTGACGTCAAAATTTTCAAAATAGAACAGTGAAAATCTAGTAAATTAAATACATGATGCGGATAAAGACAGGTAAGGATAATTTCATCTAATGACCAAAAGGGTACAGAAATTTCTAGCTTAAATTCTAATCGGTGAAACAAAATAATACATAAATCCTTATTATAAAAAAATTTCTAAATCCTTAAATTCTGACAGAAATTTGTAAAACAATTTATCCTGTCCTTACCATAAATATTTTAATACGCCTACCTTGATTGGATTTCTTACCCATAAAAAAGAAGAAAAATATTTTTTTCTTTAATATATCCCATACGAGAGATGGTACAGTAAATTCAATCTTATCCATTTTATCTATTCATATTATATGTAACAGGAAAATGTTCTCCTATATATAAAAAAATACAATAGAATATTTTAGATGTAATATTTAGGGTAAATCATAACGATATTAATGATAACATCATTCTATATGTTCTCTCAAGATGAATCATCTACGATGAATTCAATCTTGTTATATAAAAACTGAAACTGTGATCGTGTTAACCTTCCATGAGGTGGTGTAGTTCAGACTTGAATCAGTATTGCTTGATAACATTTGAAGAGTTTGAAAGTTGTAATCTTAGAAACTGATATGGTACGGATGTCCAGTGCATATGCGCGAGTTGAGTTGCACGATAATAAGGTCGCCAACATAAAAAATTATGGTGTGTATAACGGTTAGACCGGATGAAAAAAAATAAGGACGCAAAAGCGCGATGTATAATGCATGACAGCGAGACTGGCGGAGGAAAAAAAATGATGCAAATACGTAGATCGATGATCGGAGTTTTCCAATTGAAAGAGATATAAACCAGACTTAAAGAGCTTCGTTGAGAAACAGACGTCGAAAAAGGAAAAAAAGTAGTACATCGACTGAGGTTGACAGTGATGAATACGCCGTCGGAAAAAAAATACTATACGAAAATGAAGCGCAAAAAGAATGCAAGATGATATTCAATTTTAAGGCAATAATACTATTGGATTTAGTATATCATCGTCGCTTTCGGATGCTACCAATATTATTGATGAGAAGAAAAAAAATTAGAACAAAAATCAGATTCTGATATCATAATAGGAAAATGTTTTTCTATTATTGATGACTTAAAAGATACAACTAATATATAGAAAATATAATAGAATATTTTAACAAATATTTGTTGGAACATTTAATAAAGATTTGGTGAAATATCTTCTTATACTATGTATATAATGCCAATGTATATTACATGTTCCAACAAATATATATATATATATATATATATATATATGTGTGTGTAATATATATATGAATCTGTATGTGCGAGTTCATGCTTTACCTGTTCTTTTATCACTAGACCACCCAAATTTGGATTATACATATATATGTACACGTACATACATGTAATCACACATATATATACACATACTACTGGCAGAGGCATATCTATTTGATGAGGAGTGGGGACACAGGTCTCCATTCAAATTAAAAAAATAATAAAATTTGTGCATAAATTTTGTAAAAATACTAAGAAAACTGTCCAATGCCCCCGTTAAAATGACATTTGATTTTATAAAATTATATGTATAAAATCCATACCCTCGCTTATATTTTTTTCTAAATCCGCCGCGGGTCTTTCATCGCAAACCCAACTTGGCCAATGCGTCAACAGGCCTGGTTTAGATTTTGACCGATCCGATCTAGACTGTTGGGTTTTTCGTTCGGCTTGTTTCGGCCCAATTCCGCACTCTCGATCCGGTGACTCGGGGTCGGTCCGGTCTGGAGTGGGATCGATCCAATATCGGATGCAGTCCAAATTGATGAATTCATTATACATAACCAAAACATGCTTTTTATATATCACTGAAAAGATATTTTCAATATTTTTGAAAACGGAATAGAAAATTTTAGCAAATGAAAAAACAGAATTTAGAAAAACCAATATTTTAAACCCAAACCCAAACCCAAAACGGGTGCTTTATAAGAAGGCTCATAGTAGAATTACTATTCAATTTTCCAAATTTAGTAAATTGCACTTTTGACTATGTGGAACATGGATCGAGTGTATTCATTTTCCACGTTCTCATTCTAAAATCTTTTCGTATTCTTTATTCAAATTCTTTTTAACATATCCATTCATTTCAATGATATATAAAACGCTTGTCTTGATTATGTATACTAGCATCATTTCCATGCAATATATATAATCAAAACATGCGTTTTATATATCTGCCATTAGAAGTACTACGAGCTTATTATTATTTTTAATTTATTGATGTATAATTTTTACTAAAGTCATTCATTTAAGATAACAATTGTGTTACAATTTTATTAGCACTATATAAAATAACTTATAATGAAAATTAAACGTTTGTCTCCAAGCCGTAATGACCCCACGCGCGAGAACATCGTCGGTCCAATGTAACACCACAAAGTCTCTTTCTTGCTTCCCAAAAAAATGATCACATTCGTCCGCATCAGATGAGTGTCACTGAATGCTGTTAAAAAAAATGTTATTAGAACACCAAATGACATATGGGACAAAAAGGGGAATAAAAATCATGAAAATGAGGAAATAATCGTGTTTCAGTAATTAAGTGGAATAAATACTTTGTCTACGGTTTAAAATAAACCGGTTTTGGTAGATTTCACGACAACAAAAAAGGGGGAGGGGGGGGAAGAGGAGGGAGTACACACAAGTTGCAGTCGGTGTTGGGGTCGACGGTGAAGCCCAAAACGACGCCGCAGAAGCCGGACAAGGTGGCAATGGCGGTGGCGTTGGGGTTGTAGAGGGTGATGAGATGGATGAAGCAATGGCAAAGCCACCGTTTGCTGGCAGTGGAGTCGGAAGAGTACATGCTCAGCACGTTCATGGAGTCGCAGCATCTCGACCCGGGTATAGGATCCGGGTACCCGTAGTTCACGTACTCCGTACACGTCGCTATCAACGTCCCCACCGCCCCACAGTCCATTCCAGCCTCCACGGCTATGGCCAAGGCAGCTGCTGCTGACAACCACAAGCACAAGGGCATCATCAGCTTTAGTGTTTTTCCCATTGTTTTTTTTTTTAAAAAAAAACTGTGTGGGGGTGGGTTTTGCTTCTTGCACAAGTTAGGGCTTATATACAATTCCTCTTGCTAAAGGATTGTTTGGTTAGCAACAAGATGTGCATGGTTGTCATGTGGTTTATATGAAGTTTGTAAGGCTGCATCATACGTGTGCACATGACACTGTTCACAGCATGGCTTTTAACATTATTTGTATAAAAAAAATTTAATATCTTTTACTAGAGATGTCAATGATGCCCGAAACCCGATGCTCGTAAAAAAAATACCAAGGATTTGGTATTAGACCTGTTACTCAGTTTGGGTATCTCAACGAAAAATATATGTTCCGCTCCGAGTTCGAGCTTTAAGTTGGGAAGAGAAACGTAATTCCAATCATATGCCTTGCTCTCGGCTGCAAAATTAATCTAAGTTTCGATCTATAATATCCGGTTGCTCCAAAAAAAAAAAGAAATATAGATCCAGATACCCGATCGGGACGAGCAGGATCGATCAGACTTCGGGTCGGGACCAAAGCTCGATAAGTCTCTGATCGCCTAAAAAATGGAATCTATTACTAATAAATCATTTATTTTGGTTAGAGTAATTATTTCTATTTCAATTTCAAAACAATAAAAATAAAGAGAATTATGTGTATATTGTATATAATAACTTTGTCTAAGAATGAGTTCGCTCTTGTGTAGTTAGTACCAAATCCGGATTAAAGATGCGAATTTTGTGGTAGATGATAATAAACAAAACAAAAATCAATGTCATATTTTATATGTAATGAATTCTAATGATATAAAAATATTGGGACGTTCTCTATTTACGATTACGACGTGGTATATCGGAATCTCGATATAATGAAAAATAAATAAAGGTATAGGGTGTCCCTTGAATTCGATGTGTCATTGGCGCCTAGATATATTGCGAAAGTGTGAGATTGAAGAAACTAGTCCAAAGTGGCCATACTAATGAAATTTTAGGTAGAGGTTACAATTAACAGTTTTATAGAAAGACGGACGAAAAAACTTCGATGGAACAAAGGGTTAGAGTAAATAATTAGAATATTGGATCGTTGACGGGGAAGTCAATACAACTTATCGACACGAGAAAGTCAAGTAATCGATAAATGAATCGTACGAGTTATATGAATCATACGGATCATATGAGTTATATGGATCGTACAAGGTCATATAAATCACATAAACTATGTGAGTCATACGAGATCTTATGAGTCATACGAGTAATGTGAACAATATGAATCGTACAGATCATGTGAGTCATACGATTATTAGTCGTACGAGTCATATAATGCATACAATGACTATTAATCATATGAATCAATATCGTTTCCCGACCGAAAACTCAAAATATCTCTATGATTATGTTTCTTGATATCCGAATAAACTGAAACGGAACCGAAACCAATTGAATATTAAAAAACCCAAAAATACAGAACATTTTTTTAGTAAAAACCGAATTCGAATCGATATCGAACCAAAACCAGAAACCAAAACCCTTTTTTTTTTCTCTCCTTTAGCTTTCTCTCCTCCTGTATAAAATATCAACTGTTTTTTTTTCCAGGATAAATTAGGAAAATCGATACAAAACCAGAAACATCATTCAATCGAGATAAAATCTTACAAATATAAAAAATTACAATTCAAAACTCGATATTTATTTTGAGAATCATTGATTTCTGTCGTATCTTTTTATATTTTAGGTGCATAGATCAACAATGTTTGTCCAGACGACGGTATAAATCTTGGCTATATTCTTCAAAAGAATATTACCGGAGAAATAGTAGCAAAGCCCCACGAAATACTCTGAAATATTGTAACAACCCATAAACAGAGATTTGTATTAATGTCCATGTTTCAATATATATTCATAATAACCAACAAATATATGTTACGTGGTAGGAAAACATGATTCAACCTAAAGCCCGCCCGGAATACTTGATAACCCTTTTCTTCTTTTTTTCCCCTTCTTCCTAAAAAAAAAAAAACAATCATAGACGTATTTTGCTTCGGCCCGCCCCACCACTCTTTGCATTGCTCTTTTCTCTCGATGTCCCTCCTGCAATTTCGCCCAAATTCCAATTGTGCTTTCTGCATATGCCATGCCACCCCCTCTTTCCTTATCATTCCCCCCCCCCCCCCCCCCCTCTCCTTCA